AAAACACCTTTCTACACAACGCCACCTTCGCCTACAGACATCCTTACTCCTACCTGACAATGTGAAACTCCAGAGATGCCTTTCCCTGAACCCAGCCACTCTTCTGCCACTTCCCAAGGGGGGAATAGTGCATCATTGGTACAGCCTGGACATCAACCCAGAGGTCCGAGCAGATTTACAATTGCCTGTGTTTACACCTTCCCCTGATGATGAACAATCAGAGGCCCTACTCCACTGTGTCTTGTGGTTTGGGGACACACCAAACCCTGACGTGGACTATGAGGAAGAACTATTTCAGCTCAAAGACATCCAAATTACCTTGACTGACTTGTTTTGGGACTCCACAGGTACCATGCTCATTCTGGTACATCTTCCAGACAATGCAGTACACCTCTACCACCATTGGGAAACAGCTATCCCACACATACCTCTCGCCAGATCCCACAACATCACATGGGAGACCCTAGGGCCGAAGGCCAAAACTTGGAACCAAATGACTCCAGAACAACTGACTTCTGCAGGAATAAATAAAAAGACAATTAACTACTACACAACAGGACACTCCAGGTACCACATAGAGGCCTGTGAGGACCCACCCACCATAGACTGCGACCTTATTAATATCCCTCACGACTGTTTTGAACAAATGAAAATGGAAACTACACACCTACCAACTGTTTATGAAGCTGCATTACTCAACCCGGATCAGACACTATTTGTGGATGGCTCAAGGTTTGCTGACAAACAAGGACAATACCACACTGGATATGCAGTTACCACAGGATGTCAAATATTACAAGCAGCTGCCCTACAACCAACTAAATCTGCCCAAGAGGCCGAGTTAATAGCCTTGACTGTGGCCTGCAAACTGTCCGAAGGCCCACGAGTCAACATTTATACGGACTCAAGATATGCCCTGGGAGTGGCACACGATTTTGGCTTAATCTGGAAGACCAGAGGATTCCTTACAGCTGCCGGTACCCCAGTAAAGCATGGGGCAGCCATTGCAGAACTGATGGACGCATTGGAACTCCCAGCAGAAGTGGCAGTATTGAAAGTAAAAGCTCATGGAAGATTAGACACAGAAGAAGCACGTGGCAATAGCCTGGCTGATCAGGCAGCCAAAGAGGCAGCACGACAATGGGAAGTGGACAGAAGAGTGGCCACAGATGCATTACCAATTTATACTATGCAAACATTGCCTACAGACCTCAGGCTGCTGAAGGAACAGCAAGTTGCTGCCACTCCTCAGGAGAAACAGAGTTGGAAGAACAAAGGAGCAGTACTCCGTGATGAAGTTTACACTATTAATCTCAAGTTCTGTCTACCTAGAAGTATGTACCCAGCGGTGGTCCAATGGGCCCATGGGCCAGCCCACCTATCAAAGCTCCTGATGAATTCACTGATTGACAAGTATTTTGAAGCACCAGGCATCACTACCTTAACACAGAATTATTGCAAATCTTGTACTATATGTGCTAAGTGCAACCCTGGAAAGATCATAAAGACTGCACCTAATCATCTAGCCAAGCCACAATACCCCTTTCAGAGGATTCAGATTGACCATATTCAGATGCCAAAGAGCGGACGCCATGAATATGCACTGGTCATAGTGGACATGTTTTCAGGATGGCCAGAGGCCTTCCCAGTGACTAACCTCACCGCGAGGACAACAGCCAAGTATCTCTTGACAGAAATTGTTTGCCGTTACGGGGTTCCAGAAGTAATTGAGAGTGACCAAGGAACCTCCTTCACTGCCTCGCTAACACGGGAAGTCTGGTCAGCACTGGGGGTGACCCTTGCATTCCACACTCCATATCACCCACAGAGTAAGGTAGAGCGCATGAACGGCACTCTGAAAGCCAGAATGCTTAAAATGTCACAAGAAACTAACATGCCTTGGCCCGAGAGTCTCCCATTAGCATTGTTTAGTGTAAGGTACACTCCTAGGGGAAAATACAGCCTGTCACCTTATGAAATTTTGTTTGGCACAGCACCTAGGTTAGGTTGTTACTTTCCCCAACAACTTCAGATCCAGTCAGATGCTATGGTAGATTATGTGACAGCCCTCTCACATGCCTTGACCAAGATACATGCACAAGTGTTTTCTTCTATTCCAGATCCTGAGTCGAACACAGGTACACACAAGCTGCTTCCAGGTGACTGGGTTATGGTTAAGAAGTTTCTCAGAAAACACACCCTGGAACCGAGATTTGATGGTCCTTACCAAGTGCTCCTGATTACAGCAACGTCAGTTAAACTAGCTGGGAAGAGTTCTTGGATACACGCTTCACATTGCAAAAAAGTGCCTGCTCCAGAAGAGTCTGATCCTGTTGAAAAATGAATTTATTATGTGTCTTGTGTTTTCTTATGCTGCTACATTTTGCATGGGCCCAACAAGTGGCCATAACCAAAGATAACCATGTTTACACTTTTTGGTACAATTCTTCTAATACTGATGTGGCTACATACACCTTTGACTATTGTGACATAGTTACTTGTACATTTCCACAAACACAACATGCAGCTGTATATAAGGACATACCTAACAAAAAGGATCCATACATTTGTGTGACTGGCGAAGGTTGGGGACACCATTGTAGTTCATGGAAAGCTGCCGGGTGGAACACAGGTAGACCATGGGGCTACAGACCCCAAGTTGCATTAGACAAGCTTGACAAAGACGAGAAACCCTTGCTCTCTAGAATGACCCTGAGTAAACCCATAGGGTCAACTCCCATTAAACTCACCTTAAACATAGAACACCCTAGTCCAAGGGATGCAGGGGAGTATGTGATGGGAATGTACTGGAAGGGAGGTGGCTCACATAACGCATTAGGGACCTTTTACTTACAAGATATGCTAAATTCCTCTGATTGGGTGGGAACCACACATATGGTCATTAACCCATTGAAACCACACATCAAAACCCTACATGACATGGTAGCCATAGCCAACCCCACCTTTGAAGATACCATGGCAGTAGAAACAGGGTTTTCAGATACCAATTTATGGCTAGAATGGATGAGGTACAACGCCAACTCACACAATAAGACTAATTGTTATGTATGCGGAGGTGCCAGACCCCATCTGGGTACAGTACCTCTGAGTTTACCTCCGGAAATAGAATTATGTGTACTGAGTTTATATGCACAATCCACCACTAACTCCTCAATATGTGAATCCTGGAAGAAGATTTACCCAATCACTCACGGACATGTGAAACCACCCGATGGAGTCACCATCTACCCAGGTAATTACACATGCTATTCAATACCAGAAAACACTGGTTTGTATCTGGGCAAATTCCCATCAGGATACTGCTCAACTTACCATAGTCCACCTGTATCACTGCTAATGAATCACACAAAGACAATCGGTGATATCTATTGGTTATGTGGTGACAAACAATTAAGGCCCCAATTAGCTGGCCAATGGTGGGGGGAGTGTGCCCTAACCAAAGTCATAATGCCTATCCACATCATTCCAGATGGTGACCATAACACGCTTAACCTCACACATATACACTCTAGAACCAAACGAGAGACCCCTATTCGAGGGAGTTTCGACCCCCATGTGTATATTGATGCCATAGGTGTGCCAAGGGGGGTGCCTAACGAATTTAAAGCAAGAGATGAAGTGGCTGCAGGGTTCGAGTCCCTAATCCCAATGATAACTGCTAACAAGAATGTCAATTGGATTAACTATATCTATTATAATCAGCAACGCTTTGTCAACTACACAAGGGATGCCCTACAGGGCCTGGCAGAGCAACTACAAGCCACTACCCAAATGACATTTCAGAACAGAATGGCCCTAGATATGATTCTAGCCGAGAAAGGGGGAGTATGTAAAATCCTCCCTGAGACCATGACATGCTGCACATACATTCCAGACAACACGGGGCCCAATGGTAAAGTGACTTTGGCCATAGAAAAGCTAGATAGTCTTGCAGACGAATTAAAGAAGAATTCGGGAGCCACTGACATATGGGACAAATGGTTTGGGTGGATGAATGGCTGGCAAAAGACCCTCTTTCAGGTGGGGACAGCTGTTCTCATGGTATTCATTATCTTTTTGTTCCTAGCCTGTTGTATACTCCCCTGTATACAGAAATATCTGCAGAAAGCGGTAGATAAGACTGTAGATAATGTGACCCCTACCTTCATACATCAGGATATCACAGACCTTGAAGATGACACCCCACATACACCCCTACAAACACATCAGTTTAAACAGACAACTGCTTTTTTGTAGGGATAGAGTAGGGAAAGCGTCTGTCTTGACAGGTGAGTCTCACGTGTGGAGATGTAGTGGGTTAGCCACTGCGGGATACCCGCGGAGTGAAGTGTTCGATGCTTGTCAAGGCAGATAGGTTGCAGGCAACTAGGGACATATTAGGGACAGCAGCAGTTGTAATGGTAAATAGCCATTTTAGGGGGGACTGTTGTGGAAATAAGGTCTACACATATTTCCTGGTTAAAGGAAAATGTCTATTTACTCATTTTACAATATATATATATATATCACATATAAAGCTAAGTACACATATTTCAATCAAGATGGCTGCTAGAAGCTTCTAACCCCTCCTTCCCCTCCCTTTTTAAACATCGACTAACTACCTCGTGTAACAAGATGGCGCCGGAAAACCGTGGGAGACCCTCATGGTCCCGGTGACATCACCTGCAGTAGGCAGAGCATTAGAGCAACCACTTAACACCTAACCAATTATTGATGTATTATTCCATGTTATCTCTGACAATGCATATGATGTAATTTTGCTTTAAAAGGGACTTGCCGTCCCCTCTGAATAAATTTTTCCTCAAGTTATTCAACAACCTAGAACCTGTGTCTGGCGTGAATTACTTCAGGGAGCGTGCACGCATAGTTTCATTGATTTGGCCAGGGGCAGATACACAAAGAAATAATCAATACTTTAATTGATTTTTCCACTTCACCGCTATAGCACACTAGGAGCGCCTTAGCACCCCCTATTATTGCAAGTAGTAAAACCGTTTCAGACAGACAACTTCCGGCTCTGTCTGAGCTATGCCCAGCAGTGTAACGCTTAGCTTATTGGCTGAGAGTTATAAGAGCTTGGGCGACAGTTTCGTCGGGACAGACCCTACTTTAGGGTCCTCTCCCGCCACCCTGAATTTGTTCCCTGATGTCCCACATCCAGGGAACACCAGGGAACTGTTCCCAAGGAGCACCACGTGAACGCATCATCAGATTTGCTTGTCTATATTTAAAAGAAGAAAAACTACCTCAACAAGAGGACATAGTCTAAAATTAGAGGGGCAAATGTTTAAAAATAATATCAGGAAGTATTACTTTACTGAGAGGGTAGTGGATGCATGGAATAGCCTTCCAGCTGAAGTGGTAGAGGTTAACACAGTAAAGGAGTTTAAGCATGCATGGGATATGCATAAGGCTATCCTAGATATAAGATAAGCCCAGGGACTAATGAAAGTATTTTTAAAAATTGGGCAGACTAGATGGGACGAATGGTTCTTATCTGCCGTCACATTCTATGTTTCTATGTTGTGCTGAAAATAATAACACAGTGCAGTAAACATAAGATTGGGCCGTTAGAAAATCACTCACTAGATGGTTCATGAGTATGTCGCCTTAAGGTGCTTCCCCTTAAAATTCTGGAGGGTCCATTCTCCTTCACCTCTGGTAGTAGTCACCACATCGCAATGAAAACCAGGACTCCGGAGAGAATCCAAACCAGGTAAGAATGCATTTTAATTAAATAAAATGTAGTAGATTAAGCCTAAATAGCGCAACAGAAAAAACATTTTTTGCTGAAAAAAATAAAATAACAAAAAAAAGTAATAAAAACATAAAAGTAGTAATAAAATACAAACAATGCCTCCCAATGTTGGGAGATAAGACACAAACCAGTGCAGACAAAACAAAATATATTTATTATAGATCTTTTATTTGTTTTTCCTTGCTGCATGATACACTGTTTAGTAAATAAGCCCCTGTTGGCCTTTTTCTGTGGCCTAAAGATCTAAACACCAGAACACCAGCATTAGTACAATGAAGCGATGTTACATATTTCGCATGTTTTCACTGACTGCCCTCTTACAGGCGGTCACCGTCACTGAGCTGCACAGAACCAGCGACACGTGCTTCCAACAAATCCGATCTCTAGCGTTTAGAGCTCACAGTCAGTCGGCGTGCGACGTCACGGCGCTGTCTTGGACCGCAAACAACTTTCGCATGCGCGTTCCAAGCCTCGTTCTGGACTGGGAAATGGTTACTGGTTCTGAAAGCTGTGTCGTGTTTCCAGCCCACGTGTTTGCTGGATGTGATAGGACGCGGTGAGTGAACCTCTAGCTACCACAAACCATCACTACAGTGTGTACCATAGCACTGCATGGGTGATGGGTGTCCTGGGGGCTTTACTAAGTGTCTAACTACAACATATTGCAATACCTGGTTTGGTTAGATGGTAATGGTGAGGATTTAGGGATTATATAATATTTCTATAATGGGTTAGGAAGACTGACATGTATAAGATTAAATATAATGTGTGTGTGTATATATATATAATTTATTTATAAAATATTTTACCAGGAAAGGTACATTGAGACTTCTCTCGTTTTTCAAGTATTTCCTATAAATATGTGTGCTTATAATGGTTGATTAATAGTGTATTTTATAATATAATTAATTGGGCAGTCCATATTTAAAGGTTACTCCAGCCGCCATGACCAGTCTGATTTTAGAATTGTTCATGGAGCAAGCACGTGTAGCGTTTATGCGTGGAACGCAGCGCATGCAAAGATATTTGCAGTTTTGTGCTGGGTGGGGGTTGGGGGCTAGTTGCACCACCGGCATGCGATATTTAGGCAGCCTAGAACTCTGTTCCCCTGTCTAATGTTGTGCGCAAAAATTAAGGCTGTTGTCGTCATCACGCGCTGCGAATGAGTGAGAGCCTTTATTTGGAGGGAGCTATGTGAGTGTGCTTACAATGTGAAGGTCTCTGGTCTGTGTGTGACTTACGTGCACAGTCTAACGATGTGCCTCAATTCTCCCGGTCTACCTCCTTATAAGAGTGATAGCTGTATACTGAATGGTAAAATACTTACTCCCTCCACCAGTGACTGAACCTAAACTGCCTCCTTCCTATTCGACGGCGGTGTGGCATTCAATGCTTCGCGTAGAAAAGCATTGAACGCAATGCTTTTCTTTGTGAAGAAACTCATTGGGGTATTTGCGGCTCTTGCCGCACATGTGCGAAGGTCTATTAATGCTCCACTATGAGAAGGACTTGGTTGGACCGCAGTAAGGAAAAAGATATCGTGGCATTACAAAAATAGAGGCGGGCAAGCGATTGCATAGAACTTGGCCAAGTGCTGGATGCCAGGTAAATGTAAAAATAGTATGAAACACTCTTCAGGTGAAATATGGGGGAAGGCTTAAAGATAGTTAATAATTCTATGAAAGACTTTATGGGAGTTGTATTCTGACATGGGTGGGAACGTCTCTGCACCCAATTTGGTGGGACATAAATTTCCAACTGCATTGCTCGTTTTGTTTTTTTTGTTTTTTCTCTTGACCTCTGCGCCTAGGAATTGCAGAGCTAAAAATAAGAACTGATTTGTGTTTTTTCTTAATCAGGTAGTAGGAAGGTTAAAGGAACACACCGATGTTAAAACTGATTTTGGGATGTGTTTTTAACCCTTTACATGCCTGCCATCCCCCCACTCCTTTCTTGCCGCTGCTTTGGTCTGCCCCTTGGAGACTGTCAATGGCAACAGGCACCCATGCTCTTCATCCTAATATGCTGAAAGGACCTCAATACATTTGGAGTGCACCTTACCTACTGCTGTGTGCTGGACACATTTCTTTGGATTTGATGCCAGCTGGTTTATAGAGCAGGTCCTTCTACATGTAACAGTAACTCTCTTCCATTTTTATTTTTCAAACACTAAATGTTTAACTCTCAATGTTCTCATTAACCCCTCTGTGTTTTGTTAACTTTACTTGCCATGGATTTCATGACTGAGCAGCACTCAATTACTATTTGTGCAGTGTTCCAGCAACTGCTCACTACAGATAATCCACTTAAAGTTTTGTTTCTACCTAGTTTAAATGGCCACTGTCTTATTTCAGTGGTTATGGTGCTATAGGACCATACTATATGGGTAAAATTCCTCCAGGTCAGACTGTTTGCTAATGGTTTCTCAAAATCTTGGGGATTCATTGCATAAGCCCACCTTTCAGCAAGAGACCACATAATAAGCAAATTTCACTTCCTCATTATCTGTCCATGTATTTGCACTGTGTAAGAACTTAATAGTGTGATCACATGCTGTTTTTTCTCTTCTGAATTAATTTGCAAAGTATTCATATTCTATTTTACACATTATGCTTTTGCAGGAATTGAGAGAAAGAGATAACAACGTATCCAGTTAAAATGGCAGCGAAAGTTGCAAAAGGATCAGTACGTAAATCAAAGTCAATCGTGTCCAAGACATCTCTCAACAGCCCTTTCCAGAAAGCATGGAATACTGTTGTGGGAGACGATATGCAGTTCATTCATCACACTTTACTGAAAAAAATTGAGGCGCTTGGGCTCAAAAAGATAGAGCCCCCAAATCGACCAAAGAAAAGAAAGGGTGCAAAAAAAAAGCAAGGGGAAAGTGCTGATGAAAAGGACACAGAACCAAACCCAGCGGAAAAAAGCTGCGAGAAAGACAGTACGCACCAGGATGACAATGTACTTAACTCAGGATGGACGCATGCTGAGATTCGCAAGCAGTTAGCCATTGGGATTAATGAGGTTACGAGAGCTGTAGAAAAAAATGAGTTGATCCTGATTCTAGTTTGTAAATCTGCAAAGCCTGTGTTGATAACCAAACACCTCATTGACTTGAGTGCAAGCAGGAAGGTCCCAGCTTGCCAGCTGCCACGTCTTAGTGAGAATATTGGGGCTGCATTGGGATTGAAGTCTCTGTTGGCTCTTGGTTTTAGAAAGGACTGTGTTTTTCTTAAGGAAGTTAAATCCATAATTCCTAGAGTGCCCCCACTGGATGTTCCATGGCTGCAGAGTGGATCTACGGAAGAGGCACCAGCTACTGACACTGCTCCAGAGGAAGACATAACACAGGAAGTGGAAAAGGGAGAAGAAAAAGAAAAGCCTAAGGCTGGTTTAAAACGGAAAATGAAGACGGAACAAGAAGAATCCTCTAGTGTAGTATTTCAAGGCCTGAAAGTTAAAAAGATTGTCCCAAATCCAAACAAAATTCGAAAAGTTAAGAAAGCTGCCAAAAAAAAGTAGTGTAATGTGTAAATAATTAGGTTTTAATTAAAAAGTTATATGTATAATGTTTTGTTTACTGTTTTATATAATATAAAAAATATTATATATTTAATTTATGTTTGTAATAGCTCCCAAGCAAAAGGACCCAGCAAGATGCTTTTTACCTAATCTATCAAGAGGATCCTAACTTGATCTGCATCGATTTAAAATGACAGAAATGAAATGTTATGTTGTACAGCCTGTATGAAAATATACCGTATTTATCGGCGTATAACACGCACTTTTTCTCCCTGAAAATAGGGGAGAAATTGTGGGTGCGTGTTATACGCCGGCCCTTTAAATAGTGCAGCCACCTGAGCGCTCTGTACTTGGTTCTCACCTCCCCTGTTTAGCGTAAGCGGCTGCTCTCTGTCGCGGTAGCGGCGGAAGGTAGCCTGCCACCTTCAGCTCCGGCAGGCCACAAAACAGAAGCTCCTGTTTCGCGCGGAACAGGAGTTTCTGTTTCCTGTACCCGGCGAACTGACAGGAAGGTGCACAGTGAGCGTCTTCCTGCGGCCGGTCCCGCGCAGCAAACTGCCCGGCTGCAAGAGGTAAATAGAGGGAGGGGGAGGTAGAAGGGGATAAATAGAGGGGGTAAGAAGGGATAAATGGAGGGAGGGAAGAAAGGATAAATAGAGGGAGGGGGAGGGTAAGAAGGGGATAAATAGAGGGGAGGGAGGTAGAAGGGATAAATAGGAGGGAGGGAGGGGTAAGAAGGGATAAATAGAGGGAGGGGAAGGGGGATAGAGAGGAGGGAGGGAGTAAGAAGGGGGTAAGAGGGGAGTAAGAAGGGAGGGGAGTAAGAGGGGAGGGAGTAAGAAAGGGGTAGGAAGAGGGGAGGTGGAGTAAGAAGGGGTAAGAGGGAGGGGGAGTAAGAAAAGGGGTAGAAGTTCTTTATTTGACATTTAAAGGACCATCTAGGCACCCAGACCACTTCAGCTTTATGAAGTGGTCTGGGTGCCAGGTCCCTCTAGGATTAACCCTTTTTTTTATAAACATAGCTATGTTTATACTGAGGGTTAATCCAGCCTCCAGAGCCTCTAGTGGCTGTCTCATTGACAGCCGCTAGAGGCGCTTGCGTGCTTCTCACTGTGAAAATCACAGTGAGAGCACGCGAGCGTCCATAGGAAAGCATTGTAAATGCTTTCCTATGCGACTGGCTGAATGCGCGTGCGCATTCAGCCGATGACGTCGCGAGCAAGGAGGAGAGGAGGAGTACAGCTCCCCGCCCGGCGCTGGAGAAAGGTAAGTGTTTAACCCCTTCCTCTCTCCAGAGCCCGGCGGGAGGGGGTCCCTGAGGGTGGGGGCACCCTCAGGGCACTATAGTGCCAGGAAAACGAGTATGTTTTCCTGGCACTATAGTGGTCCTTTAAGTTTTTTTTCCCTGAATTTTCCTTCTTAAAATGAGGTGCGTGTTATACGCCGATAAATACGGTAGCTAAAATGGTTGGTTTTGATTTTTTTTTTTAATATATATTCTTTTTGCTGTGCATGATAATACAAAAACAGCCTGCAAAGCCACAACAGAAGTATAAATTGGTAGATATATAGATAGAAGGCATACCAATATAACAGTGTGAAGGTATGTAGCAATAGATATCATAGCGCATTTTTATAATGTGAGTATTCTAAACTTGGTCACTCATGTCCTAGCTGTAGGCAGATTTGAGTAAGTAGGATTTAGAGACACGAGTGGTGTGATCTATAATATATGCAAATAAGAAACACAGGCTAAGGTACAAGCTAAATATGTATGTCCAGACCTAGAGACTATTGAAAGCTAACAGTTAACTAACATTGCTAGACATGTGGACAACTAAAGATAGAATCAAAACCGGTAAATACAAACTAGTTTAAATGCCACTGGCTACTAGTCACAGTGTAAAAGTAGGTACATTAGTCAACAGGTATTTTCGAGCTGGTTACAGGTTGGGAGCAGCAGTTAGGTAGGGTCAGGAACTTGGCCAATGCCGCTGATAGGCCACATTAAATAGTCTTTTCCCAGACCAGTTGTGCCACTATTTACACCCCTACTGCCTTTTGCTATCAGCCTGGCTTCATGCTTGCAAGTCATGGGAGGTGTGTTACACCAGAGTTATTCTGCTCCTAGAGTCCATGCTTTAAAAGGAGTCGTATCTGTGTCTCCCAGATACGACTCCTTTTAAAGCATGGAACCTTGGAGCAGAGTCACAGCTCCACACAGTTGGTGCGTAGTACCTCAGTGTGGGCCTCCAGCCCGACATGGGATCAGTGCTCTGGCACAATTGCTTGGGTCACAGACTCTGCAGTCATGGTAGAATCCAGGCTGCAACACTGGATGCGCCTCTGGAACACCTGGCAGATGCTTTCAAATCGCTTTCTCCAAGCCTGGAGTAGTGAGCCCTCCTGATGTCACGGATGCTGAAGTGCGGAAGCCATTTTGGGCTTACCATGTGGTGATAGTTGACCAGGAGGTCAATTACAGGGAAGAGGTGAGTTTCCACAATGGGGACAGGGATACCCCCACCGGTCCAAAGGGGGGGTTGCAGGGCCACAGCATAGTCTGAGAAGCGGGAATTGCGCTGAGGGGTCGTCCGCTTCCCTCAGGCACGAGGCTACATTTTTGCGCTTTGTAAGAAGGCAGTGCAATGGTAAAGAATATCTACAAATTCCCACTCGGAGTTGGGCAGTTCACCGCTCAAGTGAGGCTTCCAGCTGTGTGGGTATTCGTGAGAAAAACTTATGTTAGGTGCTTGTGTGCAAGAGCTCTCAGATAACGTGTCTGGCCATCTTGACGGCCAGGCCCTGCGCCCCGCTAAAATGGTTGTTAAATCATTCTATCTAGGCCATTCTTGTGTTTTAAGAAATATTTAAATTTTTTTTTTTTTTTGTGTGCTTTGTTGAATAAAGCCAAATTTGCACAAATTATCATCAGGTATTGCCCAGACCATAAATATTTGGCACTGTCCCTTTATTTTGTTACTGTAGAGCTATGAGGGCTCAAAATTCCCACTAGCCATTAGCCATGGGAACATATTGCCCTGGTGAATGTGCAGTGGACCCTCCAGGCTTGCCGTGGAAAGTGTAGTTGATAAATCTTGTTGCCTGTAGATCTAATGCAATCAGCAGGTACCTTTGCAGCTGGCAATAGCAGTACAAGTTGCATAATGGTAAGTTGTCATCTCAAAAAGTTGTGGCCAGCCTAAGATGGCGTTATTTGCAGTTCCGCAATTGAAAATTTAGATGTTGGCTGCCAGTGATGTATAGAATAATCTGTTTAATAAGATACAATATGCAGAATGTGACACCCATATTTTTCTGTCATATGGTGGCAGTACCATTGGGGTTTGCTCCTCCCCTGTGGACAAGACATCTAGCAAGATAATTGCAATCAAAAAGACCCTCCCCCTTGTCCTATAAAACAGCCATAACGCAAAACCTACCCCAGTTTCCTTTCTTGTCCCGAGAGCGAAAGGACATGGCATCTAGTGGTGAGACACACGGGTTGCTTGTCTGGGGGATCTGGTCAGAGAGCTGCCTGGGTGGTAGGCTGAGAGACCATGATTCCTGCCGGTAAGGTTACGGAGCAAGTGGAGATGTGATTCCTTTTATGCTGAGAAGGGTTCCAGCAATACTTCCTGGAGGTGGAGTTTATCCTGCGCATGCGCAAACCGGAATCTTTATTAAAGAGACAAAAAAAACAAAACACAAAATTTGTAATGCAGGTATATATAGAGAGCTGTGCAGGTACCCACTGACTGCATGGATGCAGGTCAGGATAGGTACGCCGTGTCACCAGCTCCCCTCCCCCACACGTTTCAGAGCTATTTTGAGGTAAGATTAAAGAAATCTTTACTTTAAAATATGCTCTGCATTTTACAAGGAAATATCAGCTATTTTAAGACTCCGTTTATATTTTCTCCACAGATATGTCTAGCCCAGCTTATCCTGATACGGACAAGGAGAAATTGGCAGCCTCCATGCGTAGAAATGCTACGGCAAAATCTAAACACCTAGTTTGCAGTGAGTGTGCAACTCCTCTTCCAGACGGATCAATGAAGAAGGTGTGCAGTCAGTGTACTGCAAATTCCTTGGAAAGAGATTAGCAAAAAGATATGCAATCTTTTCTAAACTGGTTCCAGGAAAGTTTGGCCCAGACCTTGGAGACTATTAAAGAGTCCAAAAAGGTGGAATCTTCTAAAAAGAAAGTACATCAGAGAATCAAGAAAAAAAGATAATTTTCTGCATCAGAGACATCATCCGAGGAATGTTTATTCCTCTATAGATTCAGATGGGTCATGATCCTCCTCAGGTGAACCAATGGGGTTTCCTCCGGATGAACTCCGTAAATTCATAAAGGAAGTCAATCTGGCGGTTTTACCGGAAGGCCCGTAGAATCCTAAAGAAAGGGTTTCCTGTTCAACAAACCCTAGTGGATTTAATATTCAGGGAATGGAGAAATCCTGAGAAACGTGTCTTTATATCCAGACACTTTAAAGATATCTTCAGACGTGCCGGTAGTCAGGGAAGATTTCCCTAAAGTTGATGTGCAGGTGGCTCAACTTGCAAAAAAGACCACTATTCCTATAGGGGAAACTCAGGCCTTGAAAAATCCAATGGATAAGAGAGCTGAAACCTCTTGTAGGCGAGTTTACCAGATGGTCGGGTTTCAATGCAGGACTTTACTGGCGGGAGCAGCGGTTGCCAGAGCAAATGGCATTTGGATAAACATGTTACAAGATATTTTATCTTCTGAGCAAGATAAAGCGCTTAAAGGACCACTATAGTGCCAGGAAAACACTCTTTTTCCTGGCACTATAGTGCCCTGCGGGTGCCCCCACCCTCAGGGTCCCCCTCCCGCCGAGCTGAATGGAAAGGAAGGGGTTAAATTTACCTTTTTCTCCAGCACCGGGGCGGGGGGAGCTCTCCTCCCTCTTCTTCCGTCACCGGCTGAATGCGCATGCGTGGCAAGAGCCGCGCGCTCATTCAGCCAGTCCATAGGAAAGCATTCTCAATGCTTTCCTATGGACGCTGGCATCTTCTCACTGTGAATATCACAGTGAGAAGCGCGGAAGCGCCTCTAGCGGCTGTCAATGAGACCTAGCTGGACCTGGCACCCAGACCACTTCATTAAGCTGAAGTGGTCTGGGTGCCTATACTGGTCCTTTAATCGCATGTTTCAGAACATGCACTTGTCTAATTAATTTTTGTTGGATATGTCGGTAGAGGTTCTTAAGCTGGCATCCAGAATTATGGGGTTGTCATCTGTAGCAAGACGAGCCTTATGGTTGTCATGGATTGCGGATTCAGCTTCAAAATCTGTCCTTTGTGAGCTTCCCCTAGAAAAAACAGTTATTTGGGTCTCCTTTAGAAGAAATTATTAAGCAGATGTCAGAGACTAAAAAGGCTCTTCCTCAAGATAAGTTCTCCTGGAGATCGGGTTACAGGAATTACCAGTATTAATACAGGAAATCCTATCGAGAGACCGCATTATTTTCAATGAAGAGAAAAAAATCGGAGATTTGAACAAAGAGGTGATGTTAAAAAATCCTACAGAGATAAAGATAGACGTTTCTGACGCCAGAAGTGTGGGAGGAAGACTCCAACGTTTTTTTCAGGCATGGGAAAGAACCACAAGCAATTCCTGGGTTCTAAGGCTGATCCAGCAGGGCCACAAGATAATATTCACAGAGAAACCAAGAGCAAATTTTCTGGTCTCGACTTACCAGTCTTCAAAAAAAATCGCAAGCCCTGTTTTCTCAAACCATGCTACTTTTGCAAAAGAGGGTTATAGAGAGAGTACCAGAAAAGCAAAGATTTCAGGGAGTTTAGTCAAGATTATTTCTGGTTTCAAAACCAGACCACTCCTTTCGTCCCATTTTGGATTTAAAAACCATCAACCGGTTTATCTTGTATCAAAGGTTTTGCATGGAATCAATCGCTTCTATTTTTCCTCTTCTGCAAAGAGGCGACTTTATGGTAAAAATAGACTTGAAGGATGCTTATCTGCATGTTCCGATTGCTTCCGCTTCAAGGAAATTTCTAAAATTTGCGATAAAAAGGGGAAGATCCTTCTATCATTTCCATTTCAGGGTTCAGGGAAAATCTTGACTCCCATGACAGCTCATTTAAGGGAATTGGGAATATCAATTATCCCATATTTGGACGACTGGCTTCTCATGGCAAATACAGAAGATCATCTGCTCAAGACCTGCAGGTCACTATCCGATTCCTTCAAGACCACGGTTGGATCTTGAATTTAAAGAAGTCAGTTCTCATTCCAACAAGAGAAATAGAGTTTCTCGGATTCAGAATCAACTCAGTCTCCATGTCAATTCATCTTCCCAAACTAAAAAGGAGGAAAATTCGAGAGGTGATTTCCAGTCTCCAAAAGATGGAAAGTTGTTCCTTCAGACAGGCCATGGGCGTGTTGGGTCTTCTAACTGCCGCTTTTCCAGCAGTCAAATGGGCTCAAAGGCCAGACCTCTACAATGGAATATTCTGACAACTTGGTCAAAAAAGGAGGAAGATTTAGACAGAAGGTTCCTGTTATCCCTTCAGGTAAAAGGTCAGCTTACTTGGTGGAAAACCTCAGAGTGCCTTTCAGGAGGCTTATCTTTCCGTCCAAAAGACTGGATAATATTCACTACCGACGCTTCCAAGACAGGTTGGGGAGCTCATCTGGGCACCATCATGTGTCAAGGAATTTGGTCAGTCAGGAAGGTGAAAGAATCCGTAAAGTTCAAGGAATTACAAGCAGTACTTTACGCCCTGCATCACCTCAGGCCTTAAGTGCAACAAAAGGCGGTGAAGATTCAATCGTACAGTAGTCTCATATCAATCGCCAGGGAGGAACCAAAGTTAGGAATCTTTACATTCTATGTGCAGAAATTATGGAGTGGTTACAAATATATCTGGAAGACATCTCGGCAGTTCACATAAGAGGGAGCGACAATGTCATAGCCGACGATCTAATCAGAGGGAAGTGGGATCAAAAAGAATGGTCTTTAAACCTGGATATATTCAGAATCCTGGCAGAAAGATTTAGAATTCCGGACGTAGACCTGATGGCAAGAGCATCGAACGCAAAAGTTCACAGATTCGCTTCCCTATTCAGAGCAGATCAACCCCAATGTATAGACGGTCTATCAATAGTGGGGAACTTCAGTCTGGCTTACGTCTTTCCACCTCTGTCTTTAATCCCAAAGGTCCTTCTCAAGATAACAGACAGAGCAATAGTATTAGCAATAGATCTGTATTGGCCAAACAGAGTCTGGTTTTCGGCTTTAAAGAAGATGGCCACCGCTCATTGGCAACTTCCAATATCGAACTTTCTCATTGTGAACAGAAACCTGCCCCTGGAAGTTCTGAAAATGTTCAGGTTGACGGCTTGGCTACTGCAAGGCTAATCCTTCGTAACCAAGGTTTACAAGAAGACAGAATAGCTATCTTACTTCGCTCTACCGGGAAGTCTACTTTTAAGCTATACTTCCGGATCTGGGCTAAGTTTCTCCACTGGTGTAGGGAACACCAGTGCCTTGATTTACATCCATCCCTAGATACCATCCTCCATTTTTTTTTTTTTACAAGACTGTTTTTCAGCTGGTCTGGGTGTTTCTACGCTCAAAGTGCAGACATCGGCATTAAGTTTTTTTTCTGATTAGGGATTTGGCCTCCCATGTTTTCATCAGAAGATTTTTTAGGTCCATCAGACTCAGATGTCCTCCTAGGAGATCCGTGTTTCCAGCCTGGGATTTATCCCTGGTCCTACAAGCTCTTAGTGTTCATCCCTTCGAACCTTTGGAAGAAGTCCCATTAAAAATCTTGTCTCTTAAAGTTACATTCCTGGTGGCCATCACATCGGCCAAAAGAGTGGGAGAACTTCACGCTCTGTCCTCCTCGGATGAATTTACAATTTTCCACAATGACAAGGTTGTTCTTTATCCAAGGCCGTCTTTTCTAAAGAATATTAATCTGCCGATTATTTTGCATTCGTTTTGTAGTGAAGCCTCATCTCCTCAGGAGCTCAAATGGCAGAAGTTGGACGTCAGAAGAGCTTTACTTATATACCTTGCCAGAACAAAAGAATTCAGAATTTCGGATCATCTGTTTGTTAATTTTCAAGGGAAATGTGGCTTCCCGCGGCACCTTATCCCTTTGGCTCATTCAAGCTATAGAATTGGCATACTCCACAGAAGGTCTTCAGGCTCCACTTGCCCTTAAGGCCCATTCCACCCGAGCTATGGCTACCTCATGGGCAGAAAGGGCGCTTGCTTCTCCAGAGGTCATCTGCAAAGCAGCATGCTGGTCTTCTTTTAACACCTTTATCAAACACTATCGGCTAGACATATTCTCTGCCTCTGAAGCAGCTTTTGGGCCTAAGGTGTTACAAGCTGTCGTGGCATAAGTCCCACCCAGATGGGGATCTTGCTATATCCCGATGGTACTGCCATCATATGACAGAAATTTTGCGTTACTGCCGTTTTATAGGACAAGGGGAGGGTCTTTTTGATTGTAATTATCTTGCTAGATGTCTTGTCCACAGGGGAGGAGCAAAACCCTATGGTACTGCCACCATATTAAGAAAAAAAGAATTTACGGTAAGTAAAATTTCCGGTTTTTAATGCATCTTATAGACAATGCTTTAACATATAAAGAATGCAAAGGTTATGAGTATGACTCGGTCATTAATCCCTCATTTTGGTCTATGGAGGTTTTCCTTCTCTAATACCCCCTTCCAGCAGGGTTATTTGGGATGTAGTCTAGCTTCCACCAGTCATCACATAAGTTGAATGGAACTGCTCAATTAGGTGATATTTTGGTGAACTTTCATTCATGCAACTGTGGCAGGGAAAGTAAGAATGTTTGTCCATGGGTGCAGCATCATTTTGGACTTAAAATGGAAATATAAACACCATAACTACTTGTTTTTTGTGATGGTGCTTAAGGAGTCTTTGTGCATTATTTCTCCAGTTTTTAAACAGTCTGACAAGCTTGCGTCTCTCTTGACACTAAAATTGTACTTCTCGACTCTGGCTTGGCTAATGTAGGAATGGAGCATTCCATTAGCCCATAAAACTTTTGGCACCAATGATAGAATGAAAATGCTGGGGCAAAGTTGCCTTATTGTTCTCAAATTATTGTTGGCACCCAAAGTTGGTCGGTCTTACACAGAGGTTTACTGCAGATAAGGGTTCATTCTTTAGGAACTGGGATTTCAAAACTGAATCTGACACAGAGCCAGAACTCAAAAATCTTCATCATAACTATTACAGTAAGCTAGATCTTTTGAGTGTAGAATAATTTTCTATTTAGTAAATTGTGTTTTATTGTCATGCAGCTTTTTCAAGCCTTGACTTTCAATCCACAGTTCCACTAAGCAATCCGGTGCGATTAACAATTCTAAAACTGAAAATTGCAATTGCAGATCTGACTCCGTATTCGGTAAGAAAAGTATGCCTTACTTGTAAAGTACTTGAAGAGGAAAAGTCACCCTAAAATTACCTGTATCATCGTCTACTGCACAAAGTAATCCAGGTCTTAGCTAGTGGTATTAAAAGTACTATGCCCACTTGATCCATTCTAGGAAATGGTTATAATGTATTTTACTGTGTAATATAAGTTCAGATACCAGAGTCACTTCAAAGCTATAATAACATAACTCCCACATTTTCTACTTGTTGACAGGTTTTTACAGGTGATGTGCTAGATATTCTGATTTTATACATTTGTGTGCAATGATAAAATAATCTGATCAGATTGGTCAGACTCAAGTACAGCGAATGCATTGTATCATAGAGATATGTGATGTATTCAGTCTAAAAGCCTTCTAAATTATTATATTTATAGAGCGCCGTCATATTCTGCAGCGCTTTACAATGGGTGGACGAACAGACATGTAGTTGTAACTAGACAAGTTGGACACACAGGAACAGAGGGGTTGAGGGCCCTGCTCAATGAGCTTACATGCTAGAGGGAGTGGGGTAAAATGACACAAAAAGGTAAGGATAGTATTAAACTAATGACAGTTGCAGAAGAGGAATCAGTCAGGAGATATTAACAGTTTAATGGATACGCTTTTATGAAGAAGTGGGTTTTTAATGATTTTTTGAAGAAATGGAGACTAGATGAGCATCTAACAGAGGAGGGAAGCGAGTTCCACAGGAACGGTGCAGCCCTCGAGAAATCTTAAAGGCGAGCATCATAGGTGGGAGTACGGACAGAAGATAGACGTAAGTCTTCAGCAGATCGTAAGGGCCTAGACGGGTAGACCGATATTGCGGAGGATGAGAAGAAGCTGTTGATGATCAACAGTGTCAAAAGCCGCAGACAGATCAAGGAGAATAAGGATAGAGTAGTGACCACGAGATTTTACAGCGAGTAGATCATTGGATACTTTGGTCAGTGCCGTTTCCACAGAGTGCTTAGCGCGGAAACCAGACTGAAGCAGGTCTAGCAGAGAGTTGGACTCGAGGAAGTCTGTCAATCTTGCATACACAATTTTTTCAAGGATCTTGGATGCAAAAGGCAGTAGCGAGATAGGACGATAGTTGGATGGGGAGTTAGGGTCAAGATTGGGCTTCTTTAGAATTGGGGTTACAGTTGCATGTTTGAAGGGCAATGGAAATATACCAGAGGAGAGAGAGAGATTGAGAATTTTAGTGAGAGGTGGAGAAAGAGAAGAAGACAGAGTATGGATGAGATGCGATGGAATTGGATCTAGGGAGCAGGTGGTGGGGCGGGAGGACTGGAGCAGAGCAGAAACTTCTTCCAATGTAGCAGGTGCGAATGAACATAGAACAGCAGAGGGAGTGAAGTTAAGGAAAGTAGTATAAGGGGAAGAAGAAAGATGAGATATCTCTTCTCTGATTGTAGAGATCTTGTCAGTGAAGTGAGTTGCAAAGTCTGAGGCGGTCAAGTTAGTAGGTGGAGGAACAACAGCTGGGCGAAGAAGAGAGTTAAATGTGTGAAATAGTCGTTTGGGTTCGCGGGAGAGTGTGGTTATGAGAGTATTGAAGTAATTAAGTGTTGCAGAGGAAAGAGACAATCTGTATGAGCTCAGCATAAATTTATAGTGGAGAAAGTCAGATGCACAGTGAGACTTTCTCCAACAGTGTTCAGCAGTTCTGGAGCATTTTTGGAGGTATCGAGTGAGCTTGGTGTGCCAGGGTTGTTGTTGGGGGGCCTGCGGCGTTTAAATGTACAAGGTGCCGTGATGTCTAGTTGAGAGGAGAGGGTGGAATTGTAGAAGGAGGTTGCAGAACTAGGACAGGTGAGGTTTGAGATAGGTAAAAGGAGATTAGTGGAGAAATGCTCTCGGTCAAGACATTGGAGGTTTCTGTGAGAGTGATGTTCAGACGGTGGTGCCAATTGGGTCTTAGGTATGCCAATGTCAAAAGTCAGCAGATGGTGGTCAGATAGAGGAAAGGGAATATTGAAATGAGCTGCATTGGATGTTTGGGCTGTGTTAGAATAGGACAGCTTCCAAAAGCAGCAGACAAGAGTAGTGCAGCTTTTAAAAGTTGTTTTTAGATACATCCGTAAGGCATTAAATGCATGCATGTTTTATTTTGGAGTATATCTACTAAACAGTCTTTTTAATTGGCAGTGGAGTGTGCGTTTCAAGTGTAACTCATTAATGGAAATACTTCATTAACTGCATGTTGAGCGTACACACCTACACCCAATGCATTTGAGGGATTGTGTGTAGGTGGTTGGATATTTTCAGAAATCTTACGGACATCATTGTACTGAAAGCTGGATTTAGGAAAATTTTACTTTTTTTTTTTTTAAATCATTTGTTGCTTTGTGGTATGCCTTCACAGAAGTGAATTTTCTGAAGTGAGTATTTTCTTTTTTTTTGCACTATAATTTCACTGTCAGGGTGAAGGCTTTTGCAATGTGACTGTAGTGACAATGAAGCATCCAGCAGTCTAGATTTTTTTTTTTTTTTTATGTACATACACAATGGATAGATTGTGAATCTTACATTAGAAGGGCCACTGGCATTACAGAATGATGGCTGCATTTTAACAGTAATTCACAGAAACAGAAATTGAATTATATTATCCTGTTGACTTGTGCACAAAGCAAATACCTGGTTCTAAATTCCTTAGATTTTTCAGGTCACTGCTGACTAACCAGTATTCTGAGTTACTGATATGCTGCTCAGCCATCTATGTGCATAATGGGAATCACAGTCCACACCAGAGAGTCACAGATTAGGTATCGATGCACTAGTAGTGGAATTGGCTTTGCTTTTTCGGTCTTTCAGCAGCTGCCAGGCATTCAATCTGAATTACAAGAAAAGCAGCTGTATATTGTGAATATAGATTTTGGTGTCAGCAGCGTTATGGAACATCAGAACAAGATCTCACCCATTTGTAAATGTCAAATCGCTGCTTCATTCAAACACATAAACCCAAGATGCTATGGAAGGCCAAAAAATACAGCTAAGCCATAGAATGAGACCATTGTATATATACTAAGGGGGCCTAACAAGAAGTCTGCATATTTTGTGACTGCCTCCTATTAATCACAAGGAAGAGAGGGATCTCTGAAATACAGATGACTCCTGAGAATTATCCAAAGTACTGGAAATTGATTAATGTCCTCACCCTGCAATGCACATACATACACCATATTACAGGTAGTACATCATACACTACTTAGAACAAGCATATCAAACAACACCTCGCTAGATGAAGCTGAACTGCAAACCCCATGATTCTCTGCCCAATTGCATTAAAATAATTCTGGTATTTATAGGAGAGCAACATGAGGGCAGGGGAGCAGAATTTGAGATACCTGCCATAAGACGATAAACAGGCACCTGGATCACTCATAATGTATGAATAAAACCAACTCCATCTTTAGAAGTTGTTCTGAGTTTCACTGGAGTTTGAGACTCCTGCTTTATATTAAACTTATTGTCAGGCACAGCAGACACTTCTTACCCCACAGTTACATTCTGGAATTCTCTTTACTTAGATACCACAGAATCCCATTGCAGCTAGACTTCGATTATGCAAATATTTATTTTTCTTACAGACATTGTTACACTCAATCCAGATAACAGATTGAGTCTCATAACAGCCACATCACTCTCCCACGTAAGAAATAAAGTGATTGTCTAGCACTCCTTGTATATAATAGAGCTCTTATTAACAGCAATGTTTTGCCTTTATTGTCAGACATACTATCAAAGCCAGGACTTCAAATTCTGTGCTATTAGCCAGGCCTTTACACTTACTGCATGTCTGGAGAGTCAATGTCACACCAGGGGAGAATTTCTACTCGCAAATGGCTAGTGGCGATTGGAAATGTAAAAGCCCTGATTGAAAGGTTACTAATAAAAAGGAAATAATACAATTTGTGCTGGACATTCACTTCTTTACCGGATGCTGGAGCTCTGTGTACTCTTGGATATACAGGTGATACTTGAAAAATTAGATTTATTTATTTCAGTAATGCAACGTAAAAGGGGAAACTAATATACGAGATAGACGCATTACAGGCAAAGCTTACAGCTCATGGAAACCCCAAATCCACAATCTCAGTAAATTAGAATATTGTAAAAAGGTGCAATATTCTAGGGTCACAGTGTCCCACTCTAATCAGCTAAGGGTTTCTGAGCCTTTAAATGGTCTCTCAGTCTGGTTCAGTAGGAATCACAATCATGGGGAAGACTGCTGACCTGACAGTTGTGCAGAAAACCATCACTGACATCCTCCATAAGGAGGGAAAAGTCTCAAAAGGTAATTGCGAAGGAAGTTGGATGTTCCCAAAGTGCTGTATCAAAGCACATTAATAGAAAGTTATGTGGAAGAGAAAAATGTGCACAAGCAGCAGGGATGACCGCAGCCTGGAGAGGAAAAGGCCATTCAAATGTGTTGGGGACTTTCACAAGGAGTGGACTGAGGCTGGAGTCAGTGCATCAAGAGCCACCACACACAGACAGATCCTGGACATGGGCTTCAGATGTCGTATTCCTCTTGTCAAGCCGCTCCTCAACAACAAACGTCAGAAGCGTCTTACCTGGGCTAAAGAAAAACAGACCTGGTCTGTTGCTCAGTGGTCCAAAGTCCTCTTTTCTGATGAGAGCAACTTTTGAATCTCATTTGGAAACCAAGGACCCAAAGTCTGGAGGAAGAATGGAGAGGCACACACTGCAAGATGCCGAAGTCCAGTGTGTAGTTTCCACAGTCTGTGTTAATTTGGGAAGCATGTCATCTGCTGGTGTTGGTCCACTGTGCTTCTTAAAGTCCAGGGTCAACGCAGCATTCTACTAGGAGATTTTGGAGCACTTCATGCTTCCTTCCGCAGATGAGCTTTATGGGGATGCAGACTTTTTCCAGCAGCTTGGCACATGCCCACACTGCCAAAAGCACCAAAGCCTGGTTCAATGACCGTGGTATTACTGTGCTTGATTGGCCAGCAAACTCGCCTGAAGCTATGGGGCATTGCCAAGAGAAAGATGAGAGACATGAGACTGAACAATGCAGAAGAGCTGAAGGCTGCTATTGAAGCATCCTGGTCTTCCATAACACTTCAGCAGTGCCACAGGCTGATAGCTTCCATGCCACGCCGCATCAAGGCAGTAATTGCTGCAAAAGGGGCCCAAACCAAGTACTGAGTCCATATGCATGCTTATACTTTTCAGAGGTCTGATATTGTTCTATGTACACTCCTTGTTTTATTGATTGCATGTAATATTCTAATTTACTGAGATTGTGGATTTGGTTTTCATGAGCTGTAATCCATAATCATCGCACTTATGACAAATCACGGCTTGAACTATCTTGCTTTGCATGTAATGCATCTGTCATATATTAGTTTCCCCTTTTACGTTGCATTACTGAAATAAATGAACTTTTGCACGATATTCTAATTTTTCGAGTATCACCTGTAAATATGGGTGGATGCTCTTTTCATTTGCACAGATTTACTCTGAAGTACAACTGGACTCTCATTGTACATTTTACTGCATGGTCCGTGAAATATAGATACACAGCATGTACAAAGGTAACAACAAAGATCTTATCTGTGGCATTTCTCAGCAAAAAAAAAAAGGCATACCAACTTAGTCAAGCCTCCGTTTACCCGCACCGAGTTATGTATTTAGGTTACTGCCTTTAATGACTTAGACAAATGTATGAACAAACACGCGACCGACTACTAGATCAGTCTTTCCCAACCTAGTCCACACTAGTGTTCTACTTTTTGTCAGTATCACCCATAGAAACAGAATTCAGAAATGTTTTATCCCTGCACTGCTGGTATACCTACAGTCATCTAATATATTATGGAATGCCTTGCGGTCTTAATATTTGCTTCCCACCATAGAACAGATTCCATCCCAATAAAACCTTTTCACAAACCAGGTACCCCTTCCCCTACTGGTCCAGTCTATAAAAAACGCTGCAGAAAGAAAAATGTTTAGATTTTAATGAATACACTTGAATGCATTTCTTGATACTGGGGAGAATTCATTTTTATGAAGACCACTGTTCTGACACATGGACAAATGTCAGCCACATAAACATTTTGTACACCCCTTTCTCTCTTGCGTTCCATTGTTGAAACTCTTCCTCATCATTCCATTCCCCTTTCCCTAATCTAGTTTTGTTGGAGCAGTGACAGATCTGCATTGCTACTCCTAATAAATGGTACATATGAGGCCATCCGCTAAAATTGTAAGCCCGGTTTATAATATAGGTTAAACAGAATTATTAATTGTACTTGTGTAAATGTATGGTATATGTTCTATTAAAGAAAAATATCACACACATATTGCAACAGCATTAAAAATGTTTTATTACACAACCTAGAACCGATTAACCAGCCAAATACGCTTGTTCCCAGTTCCGGGAGGCTCATTATATTAACATGTTTTATTTCCATGTTAAGTGAAGAAATTCAGTACATAAAAAAAATATTCTGCAGTCATTGAAACCTGGTCAGTGTTAAAAAATATATGTTCACATTTGGCAAACATTAATTTTGTTGGTCATACACTGTTAATTTGAAATTTAGCACGCATGTGTGCAACCTTCTGCTTTTAGGCTATATTTCCGAGAATTCTCTGGCAGCAGTTCCGTGGCAGAGAATTCTGGGAACGTAGATCTGCTGAAGGGGCAAGGTTAGACACTTCTCACCGACATGTCTTTGGGCATTCTAAGAACAAAATCTTGGAATATGCCAATTGCAGAGTTTGGTTTTATTTAAGGATTCATGATCTGCCTGGAAATAAAATGACAGTATCATGCTTAAACATTAAGTAGACTATTTTAGAAAAGTAAAACTGGAGCACTGGGTTGTACCTTTAAATAAATACTGTTTAAAATGAGTTGATAAAAGGTAAACCCCAGCTGTTGCAGAACCTCTCCCATTAAGTTTTGTCAAGCAGATACTTCCCAACATTCCAACTCACAGGAACAGGTGATGCATTGTTACAACGGAATGATGCAAAATGCTCAAAGTGCATCACGATTACTACTAGTTAGAAATCGTTTATTTAATAAAATAGAAAAAAAAATCTGCTTAATATATTTAAAAAGAAAAATGATCAACACAAGTAATAGGCAGCATTTACAGTTACGGAATGATGGTGCACATAAAATGCCGGATAACAGAGTCATTGTAATTGTGGTTTTACGATTCTGTTGACCCAATGTATCTGTCACTTTATCGTCCACTAATAATTAGTGATAGAATAAGCAATACTACCACACTGTAATAATAATATTCATGCAGCACTTTATAATGATATAGAATATGATCTGCTACTAAACACACTTCTATACAATTAAAATTAAGCTGATTTTTCCCTTAGGGAAGGGGGGGAGTAGGTAAGAGACAATTGAAATTTTCACATTAGGGATTTTATTATAGGGACAGCCTTGCAGAAAACAAGATCAGCTAATAAAGCGTAATAACTACTATTTTGCCCACTAAAAATAACTTTAGGGACAATTAGGGTGATAACTACAAACTGAATCACATAAATAATGTATTACATCTATAAGCATTAATGCCGATTGTCCCAAGTGTGTAAGAATGCTTCACTACATAAGGCTATGGAATTATGATACATCACACACGGTGACTTATCCCTTTGAATAGATAGTTATCACGTCCTAAAAAGGCAAGAGAATAGATTTTAGAATATGCAGGACATAATCACACTGGCAACTTTGTAACCACAAGAAGCAGCATTGATTGTTCTTCGATTCATTGCAGCAACGGGCAGAGAAACAGGGTCACCTGTGAGAGATCATAGTCTGATATTTTGATTATCTCCGCATTAATGAATCACTGCAGTAACTATCATAACATAAATATTGCATAAGGACAATGGCACAAAGGCAGGTGTGCGCTACAACATTATTACATGCTGTTCCTTGGAGAGATTGTCAGGTTTACGGTTGCTTGTTAATAGGTCCATTAGGCACCATTCACAGTATTTATTGTGACCAAGTTGTTAAGGTGAATAAAATAACAAAATCACATCTAATTTAAGTCTAGAGTGGCAGTTTTCAAGCCTGGGTAAGTGAGGAGGGAAAAAAAGCACTAACGAATGTTAAAGCTACTAAATCAGAACAATAAAAAAAACAAAACAGAAAAGCAGATTGGGGGAAAAACAAACTGGAACTAGACTGTTCTGCCAGTGTGGAGAAATACTTTTTATTTATATTTAAAAATTAAATTAAAAAATGGTAGTTTAATTTAGGTTTGTTAAGGTGATAACCAATTGTATACATTTTGGAGACATGATGGGACTATCTGTGTAACTGGAATTTTGGACTTTAAATATAATGCATGTTAAGTGCAACAAATTCTGGAGCAAAGTACTACAAACTCGTAAAGCAATGCCATAAATGTTCTCTATTCATAATCTGTGTGGTATGCCAAATTATTTATTAGGAAAACAGACCCAGACCAGTCAGTCCTCATTAAACTGGGTATCATGGAAAATTGAACAATAAATTGCAATTTTTTTTTGTCAAGGTAGCTGAAATGGGAAACGTCGATTTTCCCAGCTCATGTCTTTTGGTGTAAACATTAGAATTCCTTTTTTTTTTTTTTTATTCTTGACAATTTCCAGTTTAGCGAATAAATGCCAGAAACATACAAACCGTAATGTCAAGGTCAGTTCTCTGAAGACATGTTAATCAACTGTCGACACTGAAATGCCCTATTATTAAAGATTATCACAATTAAATTTTCACATTTGAAAATCTGCTAACCGTACCTTAAAATTAGTTGAAGGAGATAAGTCATTGGGCCCAGTGATAAAACAATTCTGACAGATATTTAAAAATATATGTACATGTCCTGTTATTTTTGGCAATTTATATGCAAAGGTAACCCATTGAATGCCTTGACATAACAGAAAAAAAATCATTTATATGACTCTGATGTTATATGCAATTTACAGCAACACGTTTACCTGAATATAAATTACTGTAACAGCTAAAGTACCAGTCTTGCAAATACAGACTTGGATTTTTGTTTTAAACACATCGTTTTTTTCATTCCTATTTTAAATGTCTTGAATTATGAATAACATTCATTGTTAGGGTTGTACCCTAAGCAGAGTTCAATTTCTAGTGAAGAATGGTATAAAAGACCTCTTCTAAATACTTGATTGACATTTCTCCGGATACTTAATTTGCAAAGGTACAAGGGAGAATGACTCTAAAAAGGTAATCAGTTAATAAGAGCCTAGTCATTATAGTTTGATTTCAACCTCTAGCAGGTAATTGTCAGATTAAAAATATCAATTATCTTCTTGAAGTGTACCACAACTCTACTAAACAAGCCAGAGACTTCTGTACTATTGATGGGGAACTGCAAGGATCACCTGGCTATTTTAGAAATTGATCCATTTAGTGGAACATTAATCCCGTAGATCTGACTGAAAGGGTCTTTTACACAAAAGCGGTTAATGCTTTTAAATTGGCTGTCTATAGAATGGTGATCATAGGTGTCACCAATTAAGTCCTGAAATTATTTTTTATTTTTTTCGAGTAAAGGTTCTTTTAAATCATTTGAGGCCAAGCTCATGCCCAAAAGAAGGGTAGGCAATCCATATCTCTGAAGCTGTTAATAAGATCCCCATGATGATGGCTAGATTGTTAACAGCAAGAAAAGCTGAAAGCTTTATGGCATGGCCTAAAAAGAATATTGGTCGTTAAAGTCCTCTCTTTTCACGTCTTAATAATTAGCGGGCAGAAATATCAGCAGTAACCCAGGCTGAAAACAGTCATATTTGACCCAATTATAAAAATATTTTTTTTCGTGGACTTTCTCATGGTGGAGAGCCCATTGTAGAAGACAAGATGAAAATGTTGATAAAACCAAGGAGTTTGCATTAAGGACTTTCATCCATTACATGATTTTCATTCAGCAAAGCAATATATCAGTCAATCCTTCTGGTAAACAAAGAGCTTTCAAGGGCGTTTTACCAAACCTGACAATTTTTAAATTATTTCATGCACTTTGCAGTTTCAAAAAAAGAAAAAGAAAAAAAAAAAGAAAAAGGGAAAATATGATATTGAATTAAAGACTATGTAGTCTGTCATATTTACGGTAAAGAATATTATGTTTCCAAACTAAAGGAATGTGCTTTAAGTTTGTTTCTATCACTTTGATGTTTATGTGCGTCCAGAGAAAACCAATGACGCCATAAAATCATATTTGCGAGGTGTCAAATTCTGCCAAGCTGCACTGTTTTTCCTTCACTTCCGTGTTTTTGGTCGTTTTGTTTTCCTTCCCTTTCTTTTGTGCTTTTAGCTTCTCAGTAGCGGCGTGTCGTAAGCACCTCTGGTGACTGCAAATGTCTCGAATTAAAGACACTCTTACTGCAACACTAAACCAACCTAAAAAAAAAAAAAAAAGAAAAACATACATGTGATTATTAAGAATTTATATTGCTCACAGCATGATCAACAAATGTTAGACAAACAAAATATATATATTTTTTTTTCCATGTATCATATAAAAGGGACATACTACTGTTTAAATAAAATAAATCAATTTAGTCTGCTGCCTTTATAAGACCTCCCTTTCTAACCCCGCCCAGACTTTATGTGGCTGTCCAATCACAGACTTCTCAATACAGCTCAATGAGAAGTCTTTGTCAAGCAAGTGCTCCCTTATCGAGTTTCTCCCCCCTGAGCTAAACAACCAGAACATAACAGGACCAGTTATCTGGCTGATAGTGAAAGTGTAATTTTCTATTGATATCTGCACTTTCTATAAAATTATATTTAAAAAAAACCTTTTCCTCTACAAAGCACTTCGGCAAGATTTGGGGAAGGCTGTGTCTCTGTCATTAACAATTTCCTATTTTATAAACAATAAAATATGTGTGTCAACTAATGAGATGAGGCACTCCAGTATACAAACACCCTGATATTGTCACATGCATGTTTAATTTGCAGAAAAACCCCACCAGCAGCCCTTGTCACTAGCCCACAGCAGAGCTGGGTGCTCGTCTGGCACCAAGAACTGCATGTCCCAGGTGTCAGGCGATAGAAATACCATAAATGATACTATAGGCCCTAAAACAAATTTAGCTTAATGAAGCCGTTTTGATTCATAGTTTATATGCTCCTATACATTCAGCGATCAATTTTCTGCCATTTAGGAAGTAAATCACTGTATACACAGCCATAGTCACACCTTCCTGCATGTGACTTGCACAAACTTCCTGTAAAGAGATATCTAATGTTTAAACTTCCTATATTGCACAGTCTGTTTAATTTAGAATTTATCGCCTTCTCTTTCCTAATGTTGGATCATGTACGTTACCAGCATTTTTGCTTTCTAATATTAAAAAGAAGGTCACATAAAATTACATACAGGTTAAACATGTATTTACTTTGAACATTACAGTATCCCTTCAAACTATTAATATTATATAAAAATTCAAGGCACTGTCACCTTTTCAGATTCCATGGCTGGGCACCTCCAGTTGAACAGATAATATTGCAGGTTGCCGTCACCTATACCAAACTTGAGTTTTTCCAGGAAAGTTTTGTTTTCCATCAAATCGAGAGCATTAAACACATCAAAACCTTTCTGCCAAGATATTAAAAAACAAAACAGAAGTCAAAACACAGGCCCTAAAACATACCCCAACACAGCAGAAACACTAGTTTTGGCTGATGTAAGCTTATAAATTAAATCTTTGAATTTAAGTTTTTGCAGGAAGGTCATGCATTGATCATATTCATGTTTTATGTTATCCACTCGATTCCCTACTAATTAAGACCTATAATGAAAGATCTAAATAAAGATTAGAAGACGTGGTGTGAACTAGGGCAGCATCCATATACAGGCTAAACATAATCGGGAGTAATTTTAGTAAAATCTTTAAAATACAGAACATTCTTAATTTTACCCAGCACATGTAAATATGATTTGCATGACAGGTGCATGATGGCATTTAAAGGACCACTATAGTGCCAGGAAAACATACTCGTTTTCCTGGCACTATAGTGCCCTGAGGGTGCCCCCACCCTCAGGGTCCCTCTCCCGCCCGGCTCTGGAAGGGGGAAAGGGGTTTAAACTTACCTTTTATCAGCGCTTGGCGGAGAGCTCTCCTCCTCCGATCCTCCTCTTCTCCTCCCCGTCGGCTGAATGCGCACGCGCGGCAAGAGCTGCGCGCGCATTCAGCCGGTCACATAGGAAAGCATTCATAATGCTTTCCTATGGACGCTGGCGTGCTCTCACTGTGAAAATCACAGTGAGAAGCACGCAAACGCCTCTAGTGGCTGTCAATGAGACAGCCACTAGAGGAAATAGGGGAAGGCTTAACCCATTCATAAACATAGCAGTTTCTCTGAAACTGCTATGTTTATGTAAACATGGGTTAACCCTAGCTGGACCTGGCACCCAGACCACTTCATTAAGCTGAAGTGGTCTGGGTGCCTAGAGTGGTCCTTTAAAGTTTAGCAATTCATCCGTACGGTTGCCTGCACTGGATGTCACGTGACGTTGAAGATACACACTCAATAGACCTTCAAGGGGTTGCATATTAACCAGATTGTGAAGAAGAAAAACGAGCATGTAACGCAGAATTGTGTGCTGAATTACATCAAAGTACTGAATCAATCAAGAGGAGAAATTAAATAACTTACCAATTTGGCAATAATTAGTGCATCATTCATGAGGTCCAACAAAGGAGTTTCTGTGTGGATGTTGTAGAATGAATAAGCTGCTTTGAGAGTTTTATGGGCCGGATGGTGCATAACGGTTGAAGGTAAAGTGTAGAAACTGAGAAAATCGGTTAACGTACCATTTGAATTCTGTGAAGAGAAGAATAGATGCAGAATTGTCAAATAACAAAAAAAGGACAGTCCAAGACAACATAGCAAAGCAGGTAAGTGCAGTATAGCAGAAGATTACAGAATGTACAATGATATGTCGGTAACAGCCAAATTACATCTTTATTTTCTATTGTAGAGAGCTTATATATATAAATAAAAATATATAAATCAAAGAAACTACAGGAACGGTTTATAATTAGGTCATATGAAAACGGTTAATCTGGTATGTGAGAATATTATATGAAATACCAGTGGGAATATATTACCTAGGTTTCATCATGAATAATGGTATTTGTGAACGTGCAGGACAGCTACTTACTATTGAAACCAGTTGGTGCCGTGTATTTTTATGTCTATGATTCAGATTTGTGCAATTTTTATGGCGAATCGTATTAACAGGATATTTATTAAAGGAACAATCCACATACATAAAGCACGTTAGCTCCTCTATTTAATTTGGAAAAATTGCATTTTTTTAAAATAAATTAACCTTGTTACACCCCTTGTTTGTCAGACAACCTGGTTGAGCTAAACTCAAGATGCAGCAAATGCTTAGAGCACTTGCTTTGCAAAGACTCATTGAGCGGTGTAGTGAAGTCTGTAATTGGTCAGCCACAAAGTCTGGGTGGGGCTAGAAGGGGAGGGCTTGAAAAGGCTGCAGACAATAGGTCTGTAGCTCTGGCAAGTTGGTTTCTTTTTTTTATTATTTTAAGATAAACCCCAAATGAAAAAATAAATAAATGTATAATTAAGGACATGCATGTTTGAATTTTGTGTATAACTAGTAAATAGTGTTTTTTTTTTATTTGGGCAAAAGTGTCTTTTTGGATTTGGATTAAAAGAAGTCTTTCTGTGATTTGTTTCCTCTAAAGGAACACTCCAAACGATACCACCTGCTTCCACATTATCCTGCAAGGAGACTCCAATTAGCTCCTCTGATACTCTGAGCTGTGCCGGGCCACTCTCATTGGCTTAGAGAGTCAGCTGAGCCAATGAGCTTGGCCCTGAGTCAGACCATGATTAGCTCGTGAAAAACAGGGGAGCCCAGGTAAGTTTTCAAACGGTTCAGGCTGTATGGAGTTATGGTGCTTGGAGTGTTTATTTACCACTCCAGCTAGATCATCATCTAACATAATATAGCGAATAAACTATTTTCACCTGACCTAACCTGTTTGCATGGGCATAGGAAGTGTAATAATCTGGTTAAGAGTAATTTCCTGGAGTATGTGCAGTGAAGCCAGACTGGCTGATAATTTGTTTGTTTTTTTAATTCAGCTGGTCAATATATGTGGGGCAGCAGTGATTCTAGGGAAGGTCTTTCCCACAGAGACAGGGAACAGGCAAGGTAACGTGACAACATGAAAACCAGTGCACCATGAAAATGAGGAAGCCAGGAAGAAAGATAGGGGAGCTGAAACAATAATAGGACTTGGATAGACAAGGTGGAGGAAGGCTAATATTAGTAAGGGGGGCACTGAATTAGTAAAACTGGCTGAGAAATGCACAAGGAGGGAGACAGAGGCAGGCATATGCTAAGAGACTTGTAAGAAAAGAAATAGAGATGAAAACGCTAAGAGAGAAATTAAATTTAAAGAGAGTGCAGAAGTTGACATAGAAAGAGATCAAACTTGAAATAAGTTACAGAGGGAGCTTGTACACAATATATATACTATAGCCCATACACCTATATTGACGTTATGTGTGGACACAAAAGAACTGTGGTGGACTGCGTGGTTGGCATTTTAAGGTAGGAGCAGTTAATTTAATTGTTTTATGTTTAATTCCAGAATAAGAAAAGCATCCCCATCGGTACTGCCACTGTATGCTAGGAAAAACCAATATTAGTGCATATCATTTAAAAATAAACAACAACTTTGGTCTAATTTGCGGTTTGGGGGGTAGGAAATTCTATTGACTTTTGTCCGACCTTGTGCAAGAATAAAAAAAAAAAAAACAACAACATACAGGTAGGTGCCAGCATAGGTAATTTACGCACATGCTATTTCACAGATCAGGCCCGGACTGGCTGTCAGGCAAATGTTGTGGGCCGCAATGGCCATGGGCCCGAGGCCGGCAGGGAAGGTCACAGGACCTCTCCGGCCGGACCATGCAGGGCTGGCCCCTCTGTGTTTCATGATGGGTCGGTGGGGAGATCAAAGATCTCCCTCACCGGCCCACAGGCAATTTCACGTGGCTGCTGGCTGCGGAGAGGACCAGGAGGAGCTCCATCCTGCAGCTCCACTGGATTCCTCTGGCGAGATCCAGAGCATTGCCATGGCAATGCTCCAGGTCTCGCGAGAGTGAACTCTAACCCCACAGGCTAGAGTTCACTCACCACTAGGACCACCAGGGATGGCAGCACTGTACCCCCTCCCAGGCTAAAGGTAGAAGGGAGTTGGGATACAATGCATGGTTTTTTGTTTTTTTTTTAATTATAAACACAATCTCTCCAAACACTCACACAGCACACACACACACACACACACAATACTTCCAAACATATATGTATATGTACTACAGAACCCCTCACACATATACTGCACCCCTAAATACATTAAATTCCAGACACACACTAGATCCCTTACTCAACTCTGGATCATTTACAGATGTACACACACTAGATCCCTGTATAAACACTGAACCCTCTACATACGCAACTCACTAGATCTCCTATACACAGTTTGGGTCCTTCAAACACACACTAGATCACACACACTCTCTACAACCCCTACACACACTATATCACCTATACACACACACACACACACACACACACACACACACACACACACACTACAGCACCTAGACACATACATTAAACCACAAATTCAACATGCCTGAAACCAACCTATTAACACAAAACACCACCACAGCTCACTCTACACACACACAATCCCATAAGCAGGCTCCAAACAGATGCACACCAGGGACAAGGGACAAGTTCAAGCAAACACAATGCAAGCATGTTATTAAATTTGCTTGCACTGCGCAGAACAAATAAAGGGCCTTTTTCTAATGCTAGAGCTCTTCAGCAGAGCTCTGCGCATGGTCTGCCCTGGAAGAGCATTGAACCAATATGCTCACTTTGAGATGGGGTGTGCTTGTCATCAGGGATGACAAAACACACCCTATCTGATCCCGCCCCCTTTTCAGTGGGCTGCTGTGATTAACAAATGCCCAGACCGAATTTTTACCCCAGTCCGGCCCTGTCACAGATTGTAACGATCAACATTTGCTTTGCACAAAGTGATGTAATCAAACTCAAAGTCCGTATCATAACTTCACGTAGATTACACACACAAAAAAAGAAAATGACAAATCGGCTAAAACGTAACTGCTCCAAATTTACCTCCACAACAAAGGTGTCTATGATGTTCTCCTGAGGAAGGAACCAATGCAATATCTCCTCTTCATCCATGACAGGGGCGAGATTAAACTGGCTCAGATACTCATTTAGCAACTGCTGCACCATTGTGATATCCTTTCTTTCCATTGGTCGTAAACCTGCAGTCTTTGGAGACTAAAAAAAAAAGTGCCAGTGTTAGTAAGAACATTTATAAATCAGGGACATAGGCAGATACTATAAACAAGGGCAACACGCAATAACAAATCATGTCTGGCTCCAAGCAGACTGACGTTATCTACCATCAAGCAGCAACTGTAACACGCCATTCTGTTTACTTAAAGCAGGAGAGACTTTACAGCATGTTCAGGGCAGTGACCTCACATGACTTGTGTGTGCACATGTTAAGAGAGGGATCATCGGTCTCTTAGTTATTATATATAACTAAACAGGGAAAATCCTTGCTGCATTTATTTTTAAAACACACATAGGATTTGCAATACATTTATTGTGTTGCTTATATTGAGCTATCTTCTTCCAATAACATGTTGATGCAATATGCAATGTCAATCTGCAGTTGCTAAGGCCAGTAAGATTTTGTCATGTATAAATAGGGGCATAAATTCTCGGGATGAAAATATAATTCTGCCTCTTTATAAATCGCTGGTAAGACCACATCTTGAATATGCTGTGCAATTTTGGGCGCTTATTCTAAAGAAGGATATCATGGCACTGGAGAGGGTCCAGAGACGAGCTACAAAATTGATAAAAGGAATGGAGCATTTTAGTTATGAAGAAAGGTTAAAAAAAATTAAATCTGTTTAGTTTAGAAAAACAGCGCCTGAGAGGGGATATGATAACTTTATACAAATATATCCGGGGCCAGTACAAACCTTTATCTGGAAATCTATTCATAAACAGGGCTATACATAGGACACGAGGTCACACATTTAGGCTGGAAGAAAGGAGATTTCATCTAAGGCAAAAGGTTTTTTTACAGTAAGAACAATAAGGATATGGAATTCTCTGCCTGAAGAGGTGGTTTTGTCAGAGTCCATACAGATGTTTAAACTGAAATTGGATAAATACTTGCAAAAACATAACTTACAGGGATATAATTTCTAATTAGTGGGGTAATAGCTGCTTGATCCAAGGAGACATCTGAATGCTATTTTGGGGTCAAGAAGGAATTTTTTCCTCGTTTGTGGCAAAATAGGAAACGCTTCAGACCAGGTTTTTTGCCTTCTTTTGGATCAACAGCAACAACATTTGTGAGGAAGGCTGAACTTGATGGACGCAAGTCTCTTTTCAGCTATGTAACTATGTAACTATGTTTCAGTCTACATAAGATACTTTTTTCATACATATATACACTATACGGACAAAAGTATTGGGACACCTGATCATTACACCAACAGGGATATATATGACATCACATTCTAAATACAGACATTGGCATGTAATTGGTTCCCCTCTATGCAGCTATAACAGCTTCCACATATCTGGGGAGGCTCTCCAGAAGATTTGTTTTGTTTCTGTGGGATTTTGTTGCCCATTCATCCAGTAGAGAATTTGCAAGGTCAGGCACTGATGTTGGATTCCAGTTCATCCGAAAGGTGTTTGATAGAGTTGAGGTTAGGGCTTTGTGCAGACCAGTCAAGCTCTTCCACATAACACTCATCCAGCCATGTCTCTATGGAACCTGCTTTGTGCACTGAGCATATCATACTGGAATAGTAAAGGGCCTTTCCAAAACTGTTCCCACAAAGTTTCCACTGCCCCAGAGTCCAGTAGCAGTGTGCTTTACACCACTTGAAGAGATGCTTGGCATTGTACTAGGTAGTGTGAGATTTGCATGAAGTTGCACAGCCATGGAAACCCATTCCATGAAGCTCCTGCCACACAATTTCTAATCAGCTATGGAATCAGCAGTGTTGATGACTTTTTTACGCATCAAGCACTGACTGACCCCACTCTGTGACTTTACGTGGCCTTCCACTTCGTAGCAGAGTTACTGCAGTTACTAAACTCTTCCACTTTCCAATAATACCACTTACAGTTACATAGCTGAAAAGAGACTTGCGTCCATCAAGTTCAGCCTTCCTCACGTGTGTTTTTGCTGTTGATCCAAAAGAAGGAAAAAAACCCAGTCTGAAGTGCTTACAATTTTGCAACAAACTAGGAAACAATTCCTGCTTGACCGCAAAAGGGAAGTCAGATATTACCACACTAATTAGAAATTATATCCCTGTATGTTATGTTTTTGCAAGTATTTATCCAATTGCTGTTTAAACATCTTTATGGACTTTGATAAAATCACCTCTTCAGGCAGAGAATTCCACATCCTTATAGTTCTTACTGTAAAATAAACCTTTTCTTTGCCTTAGATTAAATCTCCTTTCTTCAAGCCTAAATGCGTGCCATGCCCTATTTATGAATAGATTTCCAGATAATGGTTTGTACTGGCCCCGAATATATTTGTATAATGTTATCATGTCCCATCTGAGGCGCCGTTTTTCCAAACTAAAGAGTTTTAAATTTTTTAACCTTTCTTCGTAACTAAAATGCTCCATTCCTTTTATCAATTTTGTAGCTCATCTCTGCACTTTTTCTAGTGCCGTGATATCCTTCTTTAGAAGAGGTGCCCAACATTGCACAGCATATTCAAGGTGTGGTTTTACTAGCCATTTATAAAGATGCAAAATAATATTTTCATCCTGAGAATTTATGCCCCTATTTATACATGACAAAACCTTATTGGCCTTAGCAACTGCAGACATTGCTGCCTAATTTGTTGTCTATAACAATTCCCAAATCCTTCTCGTTTGTCGTTATCCCTAATTCGCTACCATTTAGGGTGTAAATTGCTTGTGCATTCTTGACCCCGAAGTGCTTAATTCTTTGTAGAATGCAATTAGGTTAGTTTGACATGACCTATGTTTCATAAAACCATGCTGATTATTGCTAATAACAATTGACCATGGAATATCTAGCAGGGAGAAATTTCACAAACTGACTTATTGCAAATGTTGCATTCTATCACAGTACCACACTTTAATTCACAGAGTTCTTCAGAATGACCCAAACAAACGTTTGTTGTCAAACTGAAACATTGACAGATAAAGGTTAAGAGTTAAGAGAGTGCTAGCCTTTTTAGGTTACTGCATTAAGGCAGACTACAGAGTATTCACACACACATCCCTTTTTTTAGAAAGGGATGAACTGGTACTCCCAGTCTTATTTGTGCATTTAAATTTTATTCCACCAAAGATTTCAGTTCATCACTTGCACTGATAAAAGTTCTGTTACATTCTACACACAGAACCCTCCCTCACTCTCCAAGAATGTTTCCCCCTAGTGTCTCGAATGGATTGAAAGGCCAACCCTAAAATGCAGACGTTAACTCTTAGTAGGTTCAGCTCCTGTTATATAGAGATCACTAAAGTTTTGGTACAAACATCCAAAAAACAACCTTCCGTTTTCCAATTAAAACCTCCAATGATCACAAACACATGCTATATCATAAGATATTACACAGTGTAAGTCCGGCACCAACATCAGTCACTTACATCTGGTAGTCTATACAACTTCATTGTCCTCTGCAACGTCATATTTCTACTTAGGTGAGAAAACTTCACTTCCACCAGTTTTCTAGGATTCAACGACCGATGCCAATACCTGAGAAGAGATAGGGAGGAGATCCTGTATACCAGCTTCTTTTTTTTTTTGTAAATCGTATTTTATTGAGATTTTATCCAGAAGATATTAAAGAGCAGGAGGAGCACACAGTCTCTGAAAAGTAAAACTGCAGTAAGGTAATAGACACAGGTTATATACCGCCAAAAGTGAAAACATTGAGAATATTCAGTTCAGCTATGCCAATATCCGTTTATGATGCCATGTTTATTCTTTTCTTGTGAATTATTTTTATAATTTTTGTAAGTAACAATAGTATAAGAAAACAATAAAAAGCACCAAAACAACTTTAGCCCAACGAAGCAGTGTTGGTATATGGATCATGCCCCTTCAGTATCAGAAGGTGCATATTTATCTTAAAGGAACACTATAGTCACCTAAATTACTTTAGCTAAATAAAGCAGTTTTAGTGTATAGATCATTCCCCTGCAATTTCACTGCTCAATTCACTGTCATTTAGGAGTTAAATCACTTTGTTTCTGTTTATGCAGCCCAACCTCCCCTGGCTATGATTGTCAGAGGCTGCATGAAAGAAAAACTGGTTGCACTTTCAAACAGATGTAATTTACCTTTACTTGTATCTCAATCTCTAAATTGAACTCTAATCCAATACAGGAGGCGCTTGCAGGGTCTAGCAAGCTATTAACATAGCAGGGGATAAGAAAATCTTAATTAAACAGAACTTGCAATAAAGAAAGCCTAAATAGGGCTCTCTTTACAGGAAGTGTTTATGGAAGGCTGTGCAAGTCACATGCAGGGAGGTGTGATTAGGGTTCATAAACAAAGGGATTTAACTCCTAAATGGCAGAGAATTGAGCAGTGAGGCTGCAGGGGCATGTTCTATACACCAAAACTGCTTCATTAAGCTAAAGTTGTTCAGGTGACTATAGTGTCCCCTTTAACAGAGAAAACAGATTCCAATAGTAAAATAAATATTACCATACAATGGCTAGAAACATACTAATAAAAAGATACTCAAGTTTAAAAATGCATTCAATCTTACTTAATAGACCTCAAAATACTAAAAGAGAACTAAAGAGTTAGGAATACAAACCTGTATTCCAAAAGGCTCCCCCTTTTGCCATAAAAATGCTCACCTTTCCGCCTCCCGCGATGTCATTAAGGTGGCATGGCCTCCGGCGAAGGATTAATCCAATGCTCTTCATAGAGGAGTGTAACGGACCGTTTTGCACACAAGAGGTTAAAAACCGTTTAAGCGATATTTCCCTTTCAGATGCACAGGCAGCTACTGCAATCACCAATCTCCCGAACTGCAAACACACAAATTCTCCAACTCCCGAACTGGAACTATACGAATCCTTCAACTCACGAACAGGAAACACACGAATGCTGTTAAACAGCCAAACAGGAAAAACCATACGAACAACTTACACTCCTGGCAGTCGCACTGTAACAGCATACAATCCAATTCCCCCAATAACAAGACGATACTTCATTTGAGGATCAAGCTTTTATGCAGGTCTTCCACCTGGTGGACACTCCCCTAGGGGACCAGATGGAAGACTGGGAAACATATTGACCAATCACAAGCTTACAATCCCACAATGCATCACAATCCCTCTATGTCCTGGAGATAATTGGGAAGTAATCCAATTATCTCCAAGGACAGAGGCAAAACTCCATTAACCACATGGCAGACAAAGGACAATAAAAGACATAAAATTACATACTGTTACATTTATCACATAGAACATACACATTCTACCTATCCCCAGATAGCTTAGATCTGAGCGCCCATTACTACCGGACGGCGCTCAGATCACATACATACAGTTCAATTGCCATGGAGCCAAAGTCTTTCATACAGTCTTTTAGTATAGGACTGGGCTCCATGGCATAGCTATCTGGGGTAGCATGGTTTAAACAGTCAAGTACAGAATGGACCGGTGTTCGGATAATTGACTACAGGTAGGAAAAGGGAGGTCGGCGGCTCAGTGGTGTTCGTGACTTTAACAGTCTGCAGAAAGGCACGAATCAGCCTTTCTGCAGGGAAAAAGAACAGTGTTAAACACGGGGCCAAAGTCACAGGGCAGGAGGCTGGCAATCATTCTGCTCCAATGCCCAGTGGCGAGGTTGGTTCCGCTACAAGGAGCATTGGGAACCTGATGAGCATGTGCGGTGAGTGCCATACATGCATTGAATCATCCCTATAGGAAACATTATATTCACTGCTTTCCTATGAGCCTCCACATCATGCAACAGGAGTTTTAGATGGTCAGTGCAGCAGAAACTGCAATGTTTTACACTGCAGGGTTGCAAGGACATAGACACAGCACCCAGTCCACTTTGAGTTGAAGTGCTCTGGGTCACTATAGTTTCCCTTTAACAAGATTTATTACTGTTATTTTCTTGACAAATTCCAGACAGAGTCCGCTCCTACTTAAACGGGCAAAAAACAAAAAGGGGGGGGGGGGTGACTGTAAGGTGGAGACTTGTGTTTCTGTATGGAGGTTAGCCCCAAATATTTAATTAAACACAAAAAGCACATACAAAAAACATCCATAGGTGGAGGACACAAATACAAACCCTAAAAGAGTTCAGTAGACTGTTAAAAACATAATCTTTAGATCTGTAAATTAAAATGTACCACTCTACAAATGTATCCCAATTGGGTCAACAAACTGCAAATATATATCTATTGAAACAGGTTATAGCAGAAGGAATTAATTAGCAACCTAAGAAAAGGTCCTAGATAGACACCCGCGGGTCCTATTTATGAAAACATTGTTTTCTGGTTGGAGTAAGTTCTACTTAAATATAACTCAATTAGCCTGAAGTGAACATGCATGATACATACCGACTAATAGCAAGATACATACCGACAAGTAGATACGGGCTTCGGAAGAACAACACCTGCTGTGTAAACAGCCTGGAATATCCCTTCTAAGTTAACTCTTCTTGTTATTTCTCGTATTAACACAGGAGCCACTCGCTTCGATCGCAGCTTTTTATGTACACAAAGAAAATTGATTTCTACCATCTTCTTTAACCTGACAAAAAAAAAAAGGCAAACACTGAGGACCTTGTCGTAAGGTAATTAAGACAACTAAGTGCAAAGTATACAGACTGCAAATGAAAATACAGAAAAATATACCATACTGTGGTTTATAAAGAAAAAATAAAGCTGTGTTTAAAACAGCGTCCATTGCTAAGTGTATCTGCAGAGTAAAGTCTGAAATATAATGTCTGTCTGTGCTTATTTGCATGTCAAGCTGGGAACTCTGGGATAGTTGGATAAAGATCATTTTTGAGTTTCTGTGCCTAAAGTCCAACTTGATTTATGCATGTGATTCACAACAGTATTGTATCTATACAGTATGTTTATCTATTTGTACAGTGGGGAAATCGTATTGTGTTTATTTTCACCAAAATCTTTTTAGCACTTAGCTGTCAAATCAGTGATTCAAAAGGGGTGGAGGGTGGAACACAAGGAAGCCATCAGTGCAAAAAGCTCATTCTATTGTCACCTCTAACATGGTTATTAACTAAAGTGAGAATTCAAAGTAAATTTCAAATTTAAGGTCAAAATAGCCAAACTATAAACATTCTCTGTTACCTATGCTTTCTGTTTGGCAATTTTTCCCTTAAATTTGAAGTTCACTTTAAATTCTAACTCTTAGTGAATAACCCATAAGAAGTGTACTGCGGTTTATTTTTGCAGTGGCCATTGACATTTTGGCAGTCAACATATACAGAAAGCTATAGAGTTCTTCCCTAGAATATCAAGTCCAGTAGAACCTAATCTGTTTAGATTATAAACCGTGACGGTCACGTAATAACTGATTTCTTAACAGATTGTAATAAGTGAAAAACAGGACTTACTTCTCATAAATACGAATGTTAGCAGGAACCGCACTTATAAAACCCACTAGTTTCTTGTTAGAGGAAACCCTGACGCCACAGTGCCATTGGGATAACCATCCAGGAGGACGCAGCGCCCTGTAAAACATAAAACAAGTTATAGAAAAGGAAATTACATTACCTTTCCTGACTAAATCGTGAGATCACCATATTTATTGTTTAACTGGCTCCTTGTTACATTAACCAGTGCAAAGCATCTGTTTCACCTTCTATGGTCATTGTAAACAGATGAGGTTATTCACTATACTGTGAAATGTGATGAAATTAAACAATTGCACATTTTAGGCAAACACTGTTAAAATTATCCAAAGCAAATTTTACGGGTTCACTCTGTAGGCCTAAATTTGCAGTTCTTTTATCTGCACTCCACAACTCCCAGAGTGTAGTTCAATTAATATCCCATTCATCTTTTCAAATGTTCACAGTTTAGCTAAATCCCCCAATTTACCTAACATCATAACTGATAGAAGAAATGTAACAAGTGTGAGTAAACAAGTAAGTCAATCATAACGTTGTAGTGGAAAAGCTAGCTTAACTCCGTATGTTTTCCAATCAGCTATTTTGCCTGCAATCCCCTCGTTAATTTTCCACATCCTGAATGAAGACTAGGTAAGTGCATACACTTACTGGTTTATGACTAGTAAGAAAAAAGCCAAAGTACCCATGTTCTACATATTTAGCATTTGATAGAATTATAGCCTTTCTCCTGTTGATAATTCTTAAGATGATTTTGACATCCTTATTGTATTTCTCTAGACTCAATATATGTATTGGGATATAATTTCAATTAAAGTGGTTAAGTCCTTGTATTCCGACAGAAAAAAAAAAAAAAAAAAAATCGATGAGAGACAGTGCTTAACGAGGGTATACTCCGGCTCAGCTGGCCTCTGCCACATTGTTGAGCAATATATTTTCCTTGAAATGTGAGTTCCATATCCCACTCACAAATTAACAGGGGAGACGTGGAAAGGGAACTTACCAGGACTGTTACAGTATACGTTCACAAACTGTAAACCTTACTGAATAGGGTTATGTTTTGAGTTATATTACTTCCTTGATATTTTAAACTTAAAGGACCACTATAGTGCCAGGAAAACACACACGTTTTCTTGGCACTATAGTGCCCTGAGGGTGCCCCCACCCTCAGGGTCCCTCTCCTGCCGGGCTTTAGGGGGTGGAAGGGGTTAAACTTACCTCTTTCTCCAGCGCCGGGCGGGGGACTCTCCTCCTCCTTGGCTGAATGCGCATGTGCGGCAGGAGCAGCGCGCGCATTCAGCCAGTCCATAGGAAAGCATTCACAATGCTTTCCTATGGACGCTGGCATCTTCTCAATGGGACAGCCACTAGAGGCTGGATTAACCCTATTATAAACATAGCAGTTTCTCTGAAACTGCTATGTTTATTTAAAAAAAAGGGTTAATCCTAGCTGGACCTGGCACCCAGACCACTTCATTAAGCTGAGGTGGTCTGGGTGCCTATAGTGGTCCTTTAATTTTGTCTCTATTGTGATGTGAAATATTACTGTTACCTAAAATCTTTAAAAAAGTTAAATAAAGATTTAAAAAAAACAAAAAAAACATTCATCTGAATGTATCTTGTATTTCAGTTGCAGACAGTATGTGGTTGCAACAGCATACCAAGGGTTTCTGGGTTTACATGTTAAGTACCCATTATTGCATGGTGTCATGAAATGAAAATTCATAGATTAGCCATGCATATCATCTCAAGTTTTGCTCAACACAGTGTGGTTTTAATGCTAATGTCACTGCAGACTGCATACTCACCATTGTAAAAACTCAGGAGAATAGTCAAATCGAAACATGTTATCATCATCCTCAACATAATTTTCATTAAGCAAAGTGTACAATTCTTTCAACTGGTGAGAGAAAAAAAATACAAACAGTTTTACTTATGTCACCTACAGATAAATAAACTCGACGTCAGAATGTTTTGGTTGCAGTATATTTAGCATTTGGAACCCACAAGAGCACAACATAAACATAAAGTGACCTGACTTCTGGATGACCTTAAACATGCTGAGTGGACCACAATTAGTTAGTAGACATCATTCTATGTATCTATCCTCTCCATGTCTAGGCTGTTTTGCTGTTATAGGACCCTATTCAGCTTCTACCGAAGTTAATTCATTCAGTGGTTTATATATCTTGAATCTATACAGCTTCTCTAATTCTCTCTCAGATTATCCTAAATAGAATTGTGCGCCTACTGTCTTTTTTAATTATCCAACAAAAAGTACAGTATTTTGTACAATATTCCAAGCTATGTATACACCATTTTCTTGGCATTTATATTCATGCAAAATGTCTACGTACTCTTGTTTGTTATGCTAGGCAGTACTAAAATATTTTTTTATCTTTAGTTTGAAAACAAAAAAAGTCTCAGAGGGGATATGATAGCATTTTACAAATTAATTTGGGGCCAATACAAACCACTGCCAAAAAATCTATTCATAAACAGGACTATACATAGAACACGAGGGCACGCATTTAGACTGGAAGAAATGAGATTTAGTCCAGGGCAAAGGAAAGTTGTTGTTTTTTACAGTAAGAACAATATGGATGCATATTTCTCTGCCTGAAGAGGTGGTTTTATCAAGAGTCTATACAAATGTTTCAACAGCAACTGGAGGAATACTTGCAAAAACATAATATACAGGCATATAATTTCTAATTAGTGGGGTAATAGCTTCTTGATCCAGTGAGATCTCAGACTGCCATTTTGGAGTCAAGAAGTATTTTTTCCTAGTTTATTGCAAAATTGGAAGCACTTCAGACTTTTTTTTTTTGCCTTCTTTTGGATCAACAGCAAAAACATATGTGACGAGGGCTAAACGTTAGGGATGAACATCTCTTTTCAGCTATATAACAATGTAATAAAAAAAAACAACTTATGCTTTAATAAGTGGTTTTGGTGTATAAAGCATGCCCTCTGCAGTCTATCTACTCAATTATCTACCATTTAGGATTTAAGTCACTTTCTTTATGAAAAACTTCCTGAAAAAGAGCTCTAATTTTTTACCTTCATATACTGCACTGTGTTTATTTTAGAATTTATCTTCTGCTCTGTTAATTGCTGGCTAGAGCCAACAGCAGCCTCCTGTGTAATCAAAGTTCAATTCAATAGGCAAACATCTCAATTTGGTGATTTGTTTAATTGTTCCAAACAATTGAGAAAGGCCAACTACTGTTTGAATTGAAGTGATGTAGCTGTAATCACAGCCTAGGCAGGAAGACCGTCACAGAGATTGAATGACATTTGTTGTTGAACATTTAAAAGAAGCCAGTGAGCTTCAAAGTATAAAGAAGGAACTTGCCTGTGTGTTCACAAATAGCTGAAATATATCACAATTACACAAAAAAAAATTATTTCTCTATTTTCTTCAAAGGGTGAGTTAGTGGTGGAAACATTTGTTTTTAATGATACTCCATTGAAGACAAGTGTTTCCACCAATGTCTTTAATGGCATGCCTTAACTGCTTCTTTAACAATTGGGATTTTTAAAAAATGTACATCCATTTGTTTTCACTCTATTTTTCCCTTGATTTAAGTGTCAGAATTATGTGCAGACAAATGATTACATACACACATACACACACACACAGAATTTAAATACATTTTTATGATTAATTTTACTTACCACCTCAGCATTGCTCAAATCCAGTGTATCCCACATAAAACCCAGAGGCAGAGAGTATGGCTCTTGGCGAATGTTGTCTTTATCAGGCTCAATAGGGCCGTGACATGTTATAACTTCGTCTAATATAAAAGTGGAAAAAAATATTTATTATGAATAATTGTCATAACAGGAAAATGACTGCACCTGCAAAGCTTTATTTTTTTGAGGGGTGATGAGAGTCTGTTTAGACTGGAAGAAATGAGATTTAGTCTAAGGCAAGAAATTTTTATTTTTTTTTTGACAGTAAGAGCAATAAGAATGTGGAATTCTCTGCCTAAAGAGTTAGTTTTATCAGAGTCCATACAGATGTTTAAACAGTAATTAGATAAATAATTGCAAAACCGTAATATACAGGGATATAATTTCTAATTAGTGGGGTAATACCTTCTTGATCCAAGGAGATATCGGACTGTCATTTTGGGGTCAAGAAGGATTTTTTCCTAGTTTGTTGCAAAGTTGGAAGCGCTTTAGAATGGATTTTTTGCCTTCTTTTGGATCAATAGCAAAAACATATGTTAGAAAGGCTGAACTTGATTGACAGACATTAAAGTGACATCTCGTAACTACTTCTTTGTGCCCTTAAAACCCTCAACTTGGCTGGCGACATGCAGAGCCAAAGACAGAGTGATTATCTTGATACTGGTATCCGATTAGGTTTAACGTGTTCACAAATCATGGATTTTTTTCAGCGAATTTCCAGGTATGCACACGGTTTAAGTGTTTGGCAATACAATTGAAATAGTCTCAGGTGTTGCTAGATGCAGTTGTGATGTAACAGTCATACAAACATGAGATCTTCTTAAACCAACAGGTAGTGTTTGTTCAAGTTTTTATTTCTATTATAGGTCAAAAAAGCCAAATCATTTTAAACACAAAGGCATTTCCATGGGAATAACTGGGGGACCAGGAAGCCAAAAAAGATGACTTTAACCCCGTTAGGGACACATGACATGTGTGACATGTCATGATTCCCTTTTATTCCAGAAGTTTGGTCCTTAAGGGGTTAAATGGCTATAAGACTTTCCTAAATCATACCCACGTAAAAAGATTACTTGGACTTTTTCTCCAAGTGAAGGCTGGTCAAATATTAATCTGAGATTTCTGAAATGTTTAATTCAGCTATACAATTATAGCAAGGTCTTTTTTTTTTTTTACATTAAGTTATAAACTTTGAAGAAGAAACCATTAAGTCTTAAATATGAACTTAATATTTTGGGACACAAAAAAAAGGTATTGTAATCTACTGAGGAAGCTGTATTCATTTGGCCATTGGGTAATAATTTGTTTGTGTCTATATGAAACAACATTGTGCTAAGGAACACGAAGAGACTATATATTCATGGGGTAAGAATGTGACAAGTTTTCTTTTGGACTGGAAATTTCAACCCATCTCAGAGATTATGTCAGCTACATGGCCTGTGATAAATGGAACACATATGCTGCAGAGTAGCCATGTAGCCTCTAGCATACAGTGGAAAAATAAATAATATAATTAATAAAAAAAAAGTTTACCAAATGGAAGCATATTTTCATATAGAAGAAAAAAGTAGGCATGAGAACATCTTTAAGTCTGCATATATTACTGGAAATTATAAAGCACCAACATAATACACAAAAAAAAAAAATTATATCAATACACAGAAAAACCTAAAATATCTGCCAGAGTTTGAGTTTAAACAAAAAATGCAAACAGAGCATATGGCTCATTATTCTAGATTTCCTAGCCAATTATTAACATAAGGAAATACATTAGCATTCACAGATAATGTAGATATGTATAGTGCCAGGGATACAAAGCTATCAACTCCCTCGCACCTCCACCAGAGCGTGAGGACTTCCAGCGTCTGCTACCAGACCAAAAGTCTGTTGGAATCCAGGAAGCGCCTCTAGTAGACAGCCACTGGAGGCAGACTTTGTGCTGCAAGGTAAGCATTGCAGTTTCTCTAAAAATTTAATATTTTACATTGCAGCAATTAGTGCAAAAGGGACATTGCATCCAGACCACTTCAATGAGCTGAAGTGGTCTGAGTGCCTATAGTGTCCCTTTAAAAGTGAAACTGTGACTTCTCTGGCAGTGAGACTTCCTCATTCCCTCACAAAGTAAACGCTATTGAAGCACATAGCAGGGCAGTGGAGGGAAGTATAAAACGACAGCTCTTCCCTGATCGTGGTAATGTCGTCAACCCATGATGCTCGAGAAACACTGATGTTAAGCTAGCCATATGCAGAGAAATATTGTAGAAGAGACTGTACACTCTGGTATTTCTTTGCAATGTGCTGTATGTCCCCATGGATCCGGCACTTATATTAAATTAATTTGCATGGTATGTCCCATCTGAACAAGACAGCCAGACGAACAGTGTAAATTAGAATATTTAAATAAAAAAATAAAAATAAACACATTAAAACCATAGCCAATGTTTACAGAGATCTGAATGTACTTCAGAACAGACCGTTATGTTTTCAAGATGTGAAATATGGATTTTGATCACTGTCATACTTTATAGAGCAGTGATTGCCAATATGTGGTTCTGAAGCAGTAGTGTATCATGCATCCCATAAAGCTCGGTCAGTCATCCAGGGAGATACTAGAAAGACATTCGCAGGAGTCCTGCAAGTTGGGAGGTGGGACCTACATGGATTGGAATTTTTGTTCCAGCTCATCCCACAGAGGCTCAGTTGGATTGAGATCTGGGGAATTTGGAGGCCAAGGCAACACCTTGAACTCTTTGCCACAATTTTTGCAACGTGGCAAGGTGCATTATCTAGCTACCGGTAAATAGCTGAAAGAGGACACTGCCATTAGGTAACACCATTGTCATGAAGGGGTGGTCTGCAGAAATCTCTAGGTAGGTGGTACATGTCAAAGTAATATCCACATGAATGTCAGGACTCAAGGTTTCCCAGCTTCCCTAGGTAAATGAAAAATAGGCACCTAGCCATCCACCTGGTCAAACCAGATAGGCTAGCCTTCGCTTCCCACATGCAGTAATGAGCTTTGGGCGCCCATGACCCTGATGCAGGTTTGCCAGTTGTCCTTCCTTGCTCCATTTTTGATAGGTATTAACCACTGCGTACCGAGAACACCTCAAGACTTGCCGTTTAGGAAATGCTCCCAGGCATCACTATTTAGCCATTGTCAAAGTCGCTCAGTTCTTATTTCTTCCCCATTGTTCCTGCTTCCAACACAATTCAAGAACTGACTGAACACTTGCTGCCTAATATATACCACCCCTTGACAGGTGCCATTGTAACTATATAATCAATGGTATGTTTTTAATGTTGTGGCTGATCAGTGTAAATACCATATGAAACTTTGTTCATATATTTAAGACCCTGGACCTAAAAGTCTTAACATGCATTGCCTGCCTTAGTATTACAAAGCATTAGCAATGAAAGAGTTGATGTAAGCTTCACATGATTGTTCAAAGGGTTTAAGATTAAAAATAAAAAAAATATAGTTTTCCATTATTTTATTTTCAGTAACCGTGTTAACTGTGCTTTTTGTAAAACATGTTCTATATAAATGTACTGATGTACCAACCAAGCACAGAATGTGGTTAGGTGCACATGCTGCCACACTTTGTTCATCCCATTCCCCTTGCCGGAGATATTGAATATGTCACGCCGTATGACTTACTTAGTGTAAATCTGAGAAGGATGATAGATATTCACATTACAATGTGCTTAGACATTTCCTCTCTCATCAGTCTGACCTTTCTCAATGACCTTTAGTCACCTTAAGGTTAAAACACATTTCATTGGTATTGCGTTAGCCCTCCCACGATCCCAAACAGGAAAGAAATTCACCCAAAAAAACTAAACTTAAAACTATTAATTTGCTAAGAAAAAAAAACAAACTTTGCTTCACGGAACTTTTAATGCAAATACACAGATCATACCTCCGAAGTGTCCTTATTTTGGAGGGACAGTCCCTATATTGGACCAAAATCCTTCTGTCCATCTTTTCTAGGAGCTCCATATTGTTGGTGTGTCTGAGTGTGTAGCTGAGTGTGTAGCTTCACAGCAATAATACTCACAGTAATGTGCCTTTAGACTACAATAAATGTGTTTAGAAAGCAGTCTGCATCGATAAGGTAAACTGATCTTGTTCTAAAATACATTTTAATTGCCTAAATCGTTAATAAGCAAGACCCCTAAAATTTCTCAAAACACCACGGCTACACTCCCACTCACACCCCTGAACATAAAGTGTCCCTCTAAGTCAATCTGAAATGTTGGGAGGTAGAGAGAGGCGGTAGAGAGAATGATGAGGTAACACCAGGTAATGAAAAACACACAAATTACCTCCAGGTGAGGAAATCGATTCTACTCAAAAGATTCACTGAGATTTCAACACACAATCTGATTTTGAGCTAAAGTTGCCAGCTCCTACTGTCGTAACACTTGCATATCGAACCTGCAGGCCTCCTAAGCACTGTTTAAAAATATTTTCGTTTGTTTTTTTTAATTAAGTCTCTTGCAAGAGGGCTATGACTACGCAACTGTAACATGTAAAAGATGGCCATGTTCTTACAAGGAAACTATATGGGGAAATAGAACTAGCACAAGATAAGCACATATCGTATCTGCAAGTACCCCAGTGCCAACTTACTAAGTTTGGGTACAGGCTGTGTATCCCAAAACTGGTATTTACGTTTGCTTGCCTCGTCAAGGTTCTTCGCAGGTCCTTGGCATGCAGAAAGCAGCTCCATTGCCCTCTGAATATCCTGTAGCTTTTGCATTGGAATGGCTGGATTCTGCAAAAAATAAAATAAAAAGAAATTTATATTCCTGACCCTATAGTGTTAAAAGCATTATTTAGCCCCCCCACAGGCCCATCTTAAATAAGTAGAAAGCATCTCTACAGTGAAAGTTCAGCGTCTCCATCCAGCACTGACCCAAGAAGTCCCTCTAGTGGTCATCTGAGTGACTGCCACTGTAGGTGTCCCTTGGGAGCAATGTAAACACTGTCTTTTCTCTAAAAAGGCAGAGTGTTTATATTAAAAAGCCTGCAGAGACATTAAGCTGTAGTTTTGTTGATTATAGTGTCCCTTTAAGCCTCAATTTATTAAAGTTGTATAAACTTTTAAAATTAATATATATTTTGTAATATTACTACAAACTACTACATACTACAAAATATGAAATCATTTGAAAAACGTTACCAACAATCTAAAACCAAGGACTTAATTAGCAACATTTGTAAACTGAATGCCACATTCTACAAAGCCTTTCCTATTTATGCAAGAAATAGAATAGAGTTCCATAAAAACTCATTAAAAAAAATTAATCTAGTCAAGTGCACCAAGAACAAGACAAATAGATAGAAGTATGCATAATGCCAATTTCTACAAGAATGCCAGACAAAAGCAGGAATTATCAAACTGTACATCTGTCCTGTACAGCACTGGCTAATGCAAGTCAATATTAAGTGACTGGCACCTGCTGACAAATGAATGAGAGCAGCCAGGACTGAAACTCCTACTAATCTCAGGCAACACTGGGACAAGAAAGATCTTCCCTTAAAGGAACACTATAGTCACCTAAATTACTTTAGCTAAATAAAGCAGTTTTAGTGTATAGATCATTCCCCTGCAATTTCACTGCTCAATTCACTGTCATTTAGGAGTTAAATCACTTTGTTTCTGTTTATGCAGCCCTAGCCACACCTCCCCTGGCTATGATTGACAAAGCCTGCATGAAAAAAAAAATTGGTTTCACTTTCAAACAGATGTAATTTACCTTAAATAATTGTATCTCAAGCTCTAAATTGAACTTTAAAGGACCACTCTAGGCACCCAGACCACTTCATCTTAATGATGTGGTCTGGGTGCCTGGTCCAGCTAGGGTTAACCCATTTTTTTTTTTTATAAACCTATCAGTTTCAGAGAAACTGATAGGTTTATAAATAGGTTAATCCAGCCTCCAGTGGCTGTCTCTTGACAGCCGCTAGAGGCGCTTGCGTGCTTCTCACTGTGAAAATCACAGTGAGAAGACGCAAGCGTCCATAGGAAAGCATTATGAATGCTTTCCTATGAGACTGACTGAATGCACGCACAGCTCCTGCCGCGCATGCGCATTCAGTCGAAGAGGAGGAGAACTCCCCGCCCGGCGCTGGAGAAAGGTAAGATTTTAACACCTTCCTCGAGCCGGCGGGAGGGGGTCCCTGAGGGTGGGGGCACTCTCAGGGCACTATAGTGCCAGGAAAACGAGTATGTTTTCCTGGCACTATAGTGGTCCTTTAATCACATACAGGAGACTCTTGCAGGGTTTAGCAAGCTATTAACATAGCAGGGGATAAGAAAATCCTAATTAAGCAGAACTTGCAATAAAGAAAGCCTAAATAGGGCTCTCTTTACAGGAAGTGTTTATGGAAGGCTGTGCAAGTCACATGCAGGGAGGTGTGACTAGGGTTCATAAACAAAGGGATTTAACTCCTAAATGGCAGAGGATTGAGCAGTGAGGCTGCAGGGGCATGTTCTATACACCAAAACTGCTTCATTAAGCTAAAGTTGTTCAGGTGACTATAGTGTCCCTTTAACCTCCATACTACACATTAACTCCATCACTACATGATCACGGAACATTAACTCCTACACTACCAGAATGCCAACTATTAACTTTTAGACTACCTTAACACGTACACTAAACCTAAACATATCTTGTGATAAGATACATAAAAGTGAAGCACGCAACAGACCAAACCGTTGAGGTTTTTATATACGCAACCTCTCCAGAACTCCAAGATAACATTATATCCACATAGTACATGTGAACAGAATGTTATCTTAAAGTTCTGGAAAAATTATGTATATAAAAAGATCGACATTTGCTCTATCGGTTTGATTACGTCTCAACGATCAGTCAATGCAACGCATTATTTTCCCATAACGCGCAGTTCACAGTTACGTATCGCGCATACACGTTATGTAATTGCTTTAGCTCAGTGCTTCGTATAGCCTGAGGTAACAAAAACAGCCATTAAACTGTCCTGTCATAAATACAAAACCCGTAAATGACAAATTTACAACACTGCTTCCCAGCTGAATGACAAGACAAGATGTGTGTAACAGCATAACTCATTGTTATATGAACATTCTTACTGTTACAATAAATATTAATATCCTGCAACAACTGTCCTGATTGAAGAGAGTTTACTAGCAAAGAAAACCTGTCAGGAACAGACATTTTAGTTAATAGAAAATTACACAAACTTCATCAAAAACGTAACACAGCCCTCTAAATAGCCAATGTAAAAACCAGCGTGCTCTGTATCTTCTCTTCATACATGTAAACTCTTTTTATTCCATTTTGTCAATATGGTCAAAGTTTTAGTTCTGCCCAAAAACGTTAAGAAGATGGACATGCAAACAGAACAAAATGCTAGTCTATATAACAAGAATGGTAGTGTGTGTGTGTGTGTATATATATATACACATACATACACACACACACACACACACACATATATATATAAATGCATATATATACATACACACACACACACACACACACATTACATTGTTGTATACTGTGACATTTGAAAAATGCGTGACTGACAATATCAGAGTGTCCTTCGCAGTTTTCCAACAAGCTTCTGAACTCTGACTGATCAATAATGCATACAACATGTTTAGTAAGGAGGCAGGGAGATAGGTCATTGAATGAATAATTAATAGGGTAAAGGAGGTTAATTTGAATGCTACATATGGTTCTTCTTGGTGGTCGTGGACCAGGTGTTGCCAACTGTCAGTACACGTCCTTGGCAACTAATAGGTTAGATAGCACATGTGGCACTTAATCTATTATTTAATTGTGTTTCCTCATTATTAGAAGGGGCATGACCTTTTGTTTTTTATTCACATATACAAGGAAGATTTTTTTTTTTTTCCGAACATTTATATAGTGCCTTACAAATTCAACACTATATAATTTTTTTTTTTTTTTTTTTAAAGGCTGGGGTTGGGGACATAGCGAGTATGTCAGGACATTGTTAAAAGGGACACTATAGGCACCCAAACCTCTTCAGCTTATTGAAGCGGTCTGGGTGCAACGTCAAACATTACAGGTTTAGAGAAATTGCAATAATTACCTTGCAGGACTAAGACTGCCTCTAGCGGCTTTCTATCAGATTCTAGCAGACTCCGAGTCCCTTAACACTGGACGTCCTTCCGCTCTGCATGAGGAAATCCAGCGTGCGTGAGTGAAATCCCCAGAGGAAAGCATTTATTCAATGGGGAGGACCTAATGTGCTCACAGCGCTAGCCGCGTCCGCAAAATTAGGTCCCCTGTCAGATGAGATGGAGTGCCTACCCAGTGCTGAGGGAGATCGATGCTGGAATCGGTTGATTAAATAAATGGTTTTTAACCCTTTACGTGCCACACAGGGGGAAAGGACCACAGGGCACTTTAGTGTTAGAGGTACAACTCTGTATTCCTAACACTATAGAATCCCTTTAAAACAGCCAAAAGTTAAAAGTAGAAATCTTACAAATACATATTGTGACATATGTGAGAGGGGAAAAAGATTAGGAGAGTTTAGAAAAATGTTGCTGTCAATAGCATATCTCTGGCAACACGATAATATATTTCAGTTCAAAAAACAAGCAGCAGGGATGGGCAGCAACAGGTCTCTGCAGGACACAAATGGCAGAGGAACACTACAAAACACAGAAAGAATCACTGAATAAAAGTGACGTGTGTATCCAATAGTAAGGGGGTAGGTAGGCATCACACCAGATAGGTGTTCTATTTAGGTGCCAGGGCAGCAGGTGAGTCTTTTGTCACGTGAACTTTCAGAATTAGTAACAGAGTATGTATGCATGTGTGTAGTTCCGCTGGGAAGTATCTGGTGATCAGTGTCAAAAGGAAGCAATGAAATCCAAGAGAAGACGTATCGAATAAGAATCTTTTAGCGTTAATGTGGAAATGTGTCAAAGAAAAAACATAAATTAATACTAAAAAAAGCACATCATTAAAGATGCTAGTAGCTGCCATTGTTAATAAAATTCCATTAGCACACCGGCACTTACCAGGCCAGTGCTTGAAGAAGGACCTGGGTCTATAACCTCGCTAAAAGAAATCATCCTCTGCCACACTGGAATTATGTACTGGATACATTATTTAGTCACTGCCATAAGGGGGACTTGGCAATATTTTGACCCCACAAACTATCTTTGGCAAGCCGCAGGGTCAGGCTTTGGGGGCGTTAAAATGTTGCCCGGTGCTTATGGCGGGATTCAGCAGGGATTTCCAGTGTGGATGAGCACAACTTGATTTCAGTCCATGCAGCAGCACTTCTGCAGCACTGGTTGGCAGCCCAGCAGGGAGCACATTACATCACTGGTATGCGGTAGTCTAGCCAAGCTCTCATTACATTTGAATGTCAAAAAATCCTGAGTGTATTAAAGTAAATGCGTGAATAAATAAGTCTGTGCAGACACAGCCTATCAGCACATTAGTTGATAGACCTTACTTAGAAATCTGCAGCAATATTATATTCCTGCAGTCATAGAAACACTTCTTTCTCTGACCACTTGAAATTTTGGGATGTAGGGCACGTTGCTGGTATCTCCACCTGAAGTAAGGCAACCGACTGCTGCTCTAGGTAATATGTACAACAAACCCAGTAATAATAATCAGGGCCCACGTATTGCAATACGTATTGAAATTCCAATAGAGAATAAGGAAAAAAAATAAAAATCAAACAACTAAACAGACACAAAATTGTCTTACATCACAGTGTCCTTCACGCAACAGAGATGCTCAGCATAAACACTAGCTCAATGCTGTGCACAAACCCTCGGAGACGAAGAGGTGACATTCTGAAGGCCTTGACGAGGAGGCGCCCTTTGTCATTTATCAATGTTCTGGCACAAACAAACAAGGCACGTCAGCATTAAGATAAAATGGCAACATGCATCTAGAATTATGCAGAAACAGTTTACATTGCTCCCAGGAGAATCTATTCTTCCGCTTTAACTGTGCTTCATTCTTTGCTCCTTCTCACAGTAAAGATAATATTTAAAAAAAGGGTAAAATAAAAGCAGAAGCATTTATACCCTTTCAGCAACATTATAAATCAGAGAAAGGGAGGATTCTGAACAGGAGACAACATTCTGCAATAAGCATCAAATGATATATAATAATATACCTGACGCACTCAGTGACCCCTTCTCCAAAAAACTGCACCCGGAACAACATAGTTTAAAATGATTGATAAATAGGCTGGATGATAAGAAGTAGCATAACGAAGACAGCAGACTTATTCCTTGAAACTGCAAAATATGCAGTCTATTCTAAAACGTGATGACATGGACCACAAATGTCAGCATCCTGCCTTGGAACACTGGATCCTGAACATTCTTGGAAGCTCTCTTTACTGTAACCTGGTAAGATAGGTGAATCATACCTCTCAACTGTAACACGTTTAATGAGATTGTCTTAAAGAGGAACATAGAAAAATCCCCATTAAGTGTAGCATTGGAAAAAAAAAATAGCTTCAGAGCTTTTCTGCCCACACAGATTGCTTCAATTGTGCTACGCACATGGGCATCTCTATGAGGAGTTTGGCAGTATGGCTGCCTGCATGGGAAGCTGTCACAGCCCCTTTTCAGCAGTGCTATTCTGTTGCAGCACTAATGACTGTGTGTACTGTCCTGTCCAGTGAAAGGGACTACGGGTAACTTGATAGCAACTGTGGTATGGCTGCTGTCACTTTACAGAGTAGTTTCACTAATCATGCAGTGCAGAGTTTATAGGATGCAAGTCTCTTCTCTGGAAGGGTCTACCTTTAGCTGCAGGCAAGTCCAATAAACAGTGCATTGAGGGAAACTTTAAAACCTTTTGGTCACGTCCGCCCTGGTCTCGGCGGGCAGCTGTACTTCATCCTGACAGATCATCTTGGGCTAATCCAATGCTTCTCATAGTGAAGCATTGGGGCACTAAAGCGTGTGTGCCGCAATTGCCACACTCAATGAAGAAAGAAGCATTGAATGCAGTGCTTTTCACAAAGAAGAACTGGGATGCCCAACTTGAAGGCCTTCAATAGGTCAAACTCTTCACAAGGAAGTGACTCTAGTAGCGGTTTGATTGACTAATGTAAACATGGCCGTTTCTCAAACACGGCAATAAATAAATATGCCATAGTGCAGTTACTGGGTCTTAGCACCTAAACCATTACAGTAAGATGTAATGGATTTGGTGTTTAGAGGGTCCCTTTAAGGGACGCTGCTGAACAGAGATACATAGTCATTGCTAAATGATGGCTAGTCAAAGGAAATTGAAAAAACAAATCAACTTTAGTTTAATAAAAGATTAAATAAGAGAAAATCTTGTGACAGATCAAATGTGAGCAGGAATCAAACACAATATATATTGTCCTGTCAATCAATGCTCATTCCAGCACATGTGTAAGCATGGGGTTTAGCAGGTTAACAATGCTTAATTTTCAATATTGAAATTAAATGCACAAAAATGATTTGCTTTGAGAAAACTAGAGCTGAAGTTGCATATTAAAAAAAAATCAGTTACCAAAATAACACACCAAGCACTATAAATATTAAAGGGATAGTCTAAGCACCAATGAAAGTAATAACAGACCAGAAACAGTGGAACAGAATTGGTGAAATATACTACTTCTTGTTCTCTATTCTGGTGTAGGTCCATAGTTACTTTCTCTGGGGCGTGTATTTTTGGGAGATTTGTATTTGGAACCTGCACAACAGGCTATTCTGGAGCATTTCTGCCCCTACAAAAGCTTGTGACAAAACTTGCCATTCATTCTATAAAGACACACACCAATGTCTGTCTGCCACGACTCACTCCAGTCTTGCTCTACCCACATTCACGCACATCAACATATCATAATGCAGATTTACAAGGAAAAATGAAATGCCTTATACACACAGCAGCTAAAACACTCACAATATCATGAAGCAATATGTATAAGCACGCATAAAATCCTGCCCATATTTTAATAGGTCCAAGATGTAAATCTCCTGATTGGTCTTCCCAAAAGCCGTACTGCCCCGCTACAGTCCATAATGAACGCTGCTGCCAGACTGATTTTCCGCTCTAGTCGGTTCTCTCACACCTCACCCCTCTGCCAGTCCTTACATTGGCTTCCTGTATGCTATAGGAGTCAATTCAAAGTGCTAACCCGTACCTATAAAGCACTGAACAACTCTAGCCCCTCATATCTCCTCACAGATCTATAGGTATGCCACTTCTCGGTCTCTCCGCTCTGCCTGTGACCACCTCCTGTCCGTTGTCCGCACCCGTATGGCCAACTCACACTTGCAGGACTTCTCGCGGGAGGCTCCCTTCCTATGGAATAGCCTGCCTACTGCCATCAGACTCTCCCCTAGTCTTGCATCTTTTAAGAAGTGCCTTAAAACCCATCTCTTTAGGAAAGCTTATGGCCTTCCAGAGTAACCTCTACCTCACATACCTGTCTCTTGCTCTCTCCTAAAGGGCAACACTTTACTCTCTCTTCCAGCTCTGCTTCACTCCCACCTTATTTGACTGCAAATTCCTGTCCTATCGTGTTTTACACCCCACCTCCTATAGACTGTAAGCTCGATTGAGCAGGGTTCTCTCCAACCTATTGTTCCCATAAGTTTTTTGTACTTGTCCTATCTATAGTTAAATCCTCCTCTCATAATATTGTAAAACACCACGGAATCTGTTGGCGCTATATAAATGGCAATTATAATAATAATAAATTTATATGTATGTTAAGGAAAAAAGGCCTGGTTACAGCCACCTATTCCAACCTCTATGTGACATATATGCAGCTGGAAATCTCTTTCAAGTTACCAGTTGGTGAGATTAGTAACAATCTCTGAGGTTTACAATCAACTATCCTCAGATATTGGGGGTGCATGGTCAGTCAACTCATATACGCACACTACAAGGTCAGAAAGCAGACAATGCTTTGAGCAGTAAATGCGTTGGGTTTTATTACATACTCCCAACATTTCAAATGGCCAGAGATAGAGACATTGCAAATAACTTCATGACCTACTCACCTGCTGAGCCTTTAAAGTCACGGAATAAGTATTGGGAACACAACAAAATTATTTTACATACACTAGTTTCTAAATGCATTTACTATTGTTCACTGTCCCTACTGCGGCATGTGGACAAATAACTGTATGGAGAGTGTACGCGGTGTATGCACAGTGCTTGTGCTGTATTCAGCGTGTATCTGTGATGAAGCTGCCGGTGTATAATCCACATTTATAATCTGTGTGTGCGCTGAAAGTGTATGTATGCAAATGCAGATGTACACTGTTCCTACTGAGAAAGTCTGTTTGTAGAGCATTTCTGTGTGCATTTGCATTGCATTTACACATAGGTGGGGATGACTATCGCAAGAGTTTAAGCAGACAATAAATAAAAGCAAGGGGGAATTAAGCGATTTGTTTGCAGAGAGAGTTTCCAAACATCAATTCATTGATATATAAGCTACAGTGGTTATGGTGTTTTATGTGTCTGTCTGAGACAAGCCAGGAACCAGCTAACCAGCTATGCACTCACTTTTGAAGGCTGTTGTGTTCTAATTTCTTGAGAATCTGATGCAGAATCAGATTTGGTTCCCCCAGAATTTGGCTTTTCTTTTTTTCTTTTCTGCTTCTTCTTTTTCTTTTTAGCACCAAGATCCCCAGCAGGACTCCTGTGAAGGAAATTACACAAATAAGGTTCAATATGGAGACATATTAAATCTTTTAACACTACAGGTTGAGCCATCTAGGCCAACTCTGACCAGTGTCATGAACCAGTACAGAACAGGCTTCATTTAACTGCTGGCTGCAAGGGAACTGGATACACGCGATCCTTAAAAAGGGATACTGCAAGGATCCACTCAATTATAACATGCTTAAAATTATATGTGGTGTTTGCGAAATCAAATATTTTGCTGTAGTCTGCATCTTAAAAACACAGTAAAATCAGCTATGTGGTCAAACATTCACTACTCTTGGACATCAGCAGTAGCTTTAGTATTTAACAGCCCAAATGCATTAACAATGCAAAACAAAAAGACAAACATCTAAATCACAGATTTGTAGTACGAGATTTTGATATTTAGCTGAAAGCAGCAAGGTGAAGTGTTAAAGTAGAACCCACCTATGAAAATGTCCCACAAAAATGTAGCTTAATGAAACTTGGTGTATAGATCATGTCCCTGCAGTCTCACTGCACAATTCTCTACCATTTATGAGTTAAATCACTTTTGTTTCTGTTATGCAGCCCTAGCCACATACCCCTGTCTATGACACACAGCCTGCATGAAAAAATAGGTTTTATTTGCAATCAGATATTAAACTTTCTTTAGAGATGTTCGTCTCATGCTCTGTAAATTGAACTTTTATTACACACGAGGCTCTAGCAAGCTATTTATAGGGCAGCAGATAATAGGTTCAAAATGAAACACAGAAAATATAAACATTAGATCACTCTTTGCAGGAAGTGTGTAGGGAGGCTGTGTAAGTCACATGCATGGGAGGTGGGGCTAGGGCTGCATAACGTGATTTAACTTTTAAATGGAAAAAAATTGAGCAGTGAGACTGCGAGAGCCTTATCTAAACAATAAACACTGTCTCATTAAATTAAAGGTTTTTTTGGTGCCTAGAGTATCCCTTTAACATTGGCAAACAAGTGAGCATGGTCATTTGAAATTTTACCAAAAAAAATTTTTTTTTTAACCTGTACACAGACATATTGGATAATGCACAGATGTTTGTGATTTGTATTCTACATTTTAAGCCTGTCCCTCCCATTTCTCCCATTCTAAAATATTTACTTCTTGCTGGTTTCTGTAGCTGGTATGTGATGTTAACCTTTATTTTCTGCTTAAACCTTTAGTGTTTCTCCAGTTGTTCTATATCTCAACAGCAAAGGTTTCTGGGATTTAAAGTTCAGGTAACAGCTTTCTCAGGGAAACAATAACAAGCTGATAAATGAACTCAAACTCCCAGAAACCTCTGCTCATAAATGCCTAAACACATCACACCACACCAATCTAACAAAAAATTTAAAATCTGGGAAGTCATACATGTAAATTGTATGAATGGTTTATAAATGTATTGCTGTTGGAATTGGATTTAATTAACCACCTACAGTAACGTGAACATGTAATATTTTACCACACAATCAACTATATATAATTAAAGGATCACTATAGGGTCAGGAACACAAACATGTATTCCTGACCCTATAGTGTTAAAACCACCATCTACCCCCCTGGGCCCCTTATGCCTCCATAAATATAGCAGAATCTTACTGTATTCAAGCCAGCAGCTGTAACTCTGCATGCTGCTTGTCTCAGAAAAACAAGCAGTCTGCTGACATCATCAGAAGTGATAGCCTGATCCAATCACAATGCTTCCCCATAGGATTGGCTGAGACTGACAAAGAGGCAGATCAGGGGCAGAGCCAGCATGTTTCAAACACAGCCCTGGCCAATCAGCATCTCCTCATGGAGATGAATTGAATCAATGAATATCTATGAGGAAAGTTCAGTGTCTGCATGCAGAGGGAGGAGATACTGAATGTTTGGATGCATTTTAGGCAGCCATGACCCAGGAAGGATCTTTAACAGCCATCTGAGGAGTGGCCAGTGACATTATCACTAGGCTGTAATGTAAACACTGCATTTTCTCTGAAAAGACAGTATTTACAGCAAAAGGCCTGAAGGTAACAATTCTACTTACCAGAACAAATTCAATAAGCTGTAGTTGTTCTGGTGACTATAGTGTCCCTTTAAATTATATTTTGGGATGTAGCGCTCTAGGCAAATTTACATTCACAATATTTTCATGTAATATTTTCCTTGCAATGGTTAGCTTAGTGTCACAGCTAATATTTTATTTAGAATTTAAATAGGAAAAGAACAAAAGAAAAGTAGAACAGATTACGGATCATAACTTGCACCTTAAAACAGTGTAGTTTTTATTAAATTCCTGCTTGTTTTTAATGCACTATATAAAAATGAATGAAAGCCTACATGCAGTGAACATCTAGACAAGGAGTTGGCTGATACCTCTCAGTCACTCTTAACCATCCACCTGTTTTCAATATGAGAGCACCCTATATAATCCTGTATCGCTTAAGTGGTAAACATATCCCATAAACATATAGCCCGTGAGCGAAAGGTAGGCTTTAAGTGAGGTGGTGATAAAAGCAAGTAGACAAACACGTAGTTGTCAGGTTCCATTCTACAAATTAAATGTAAAAGTCTACAAATCCACAATTAAACATAGATGAGAATATAATATAGCAAGAAACCCAAGCCAGCTTTAGGAATGCCATGTACACCTTGTTTTCTTAATGGTGGGGAGTAGCAATCGGTGGTTCCATGGTAAGTAGTCTTATGTTCTAAAACCGTTTAGCTACATTCAATGAGGTGACAGGGAGCTGCAGAGGTTATGGACCTCAAAGTGTTCTTTTAAAACTACAAACTATTAAAAAAAAGGTATAAAGTCACGCATTTCATGAATGCTAAAAATGTTTTTACTTTTGGCCTTTAAGTTTTCACAGAACTATGGAATATGCTACCAACTGTATAAATATGAATAATTAAATATCCTAATATAATCAAAGAGAAAATATGTTCCCCAGCCTTCCAGTTTCAATAGAGCGTAAATCTTCTCCGATGTCACAGAAATGAATTTCTTGTATACAGCAGTAAACTTATTTGAGCTAGTTTCTCTTTAAGTTTAGGAGGTTGCATGGAAGATTTGGGGGATGATCGCCAATGTTTCCTAGGTAACAGCAAGAACAGAGTCTCCAACGTTTTAAAATACATTGTAAGAGCATTGCTTCTGCAAACCCACTGTGAGCTAATGAATAGAAGGGCCCCTACGTTGATATAAACTTACTTCTCCGATTAATGCAAACAGAAATCATTTTATTACACAGAGATCCTGCAGCTATAAGCACAATTTGTGATTTTTACATAATGCTGACAACTCCTCCTGTACTGCAACTTTTTGGCTTGGCCACGTTCAACAAATGAAAAATTGCACAATCACATAAGTGTGCCATTTCGAAAGATTATTCCTCAAAACAATGCTTGGAGAAATGCTCTTGTGGGAAAATACATTTGTGACAAGTCAAATTGGGAATCATTGAAGTTGTCATGGAAATAGAACAGAGCCATTATTCTACGGTTTAAGGAAGAAATGGTAATTTATGAAAGCGTTGTAAATAGGGAATGCACATAAATTAAAAGTACATTACTAAATGTGGCACTGGCCTGGGAAGAAATCTACCCAGTGAATACAATAAGTGTGGTTATCAGGCTATTATTAAAGGAACGATACAGAGTGGAATAGACGCCCTGTTAAAAGATTAAAATATAAGCAAACAAAATTAAGCTCCTGTACTTGCAGCAAATCCACAGGGTTTTCAGCTTCTGAAGTGAACCATTACCAAACTGAGAATCGCTGCTATATATAATCAGCCATATTACTGAAAAAACAAACACAAAGCAGAATGATTGGGGGGGGGAGGGAGTGTAGAATATAAAATGGACATAGCATAATTGTTTCAAGACATGATATCAATTTCAGCTTGCAAAGACCAAGTCTGTACAGAATTTCTGCTAGCCCTGACTCAGATGTCTAGCTATTTGTGGGGTGTTATTCCATCTCCTTGTCCTGTCAATCAGGTAGCCCAGCATGACAATATGGGGCTGAATATATATTTAAAAAAAAAAAAAACAAAAAAAAAAACACATACACACAAAAATAAAAAATATCATACTGACCCTGATACAGAAATCTGTATTTCTCATAAACTCCAGATTTTTAGGATCTGCTGGATAATCCTGCACAAGAGAATTGGATACAACTAATAAGTATTATTCAAGAGTGAACCTAGTTTTGTTTTGTTTGTTATCAGTTTTATGCTTAACCCAACTGATTAGTGGAACTACTCTCGGAAATGAACTTATTTTATAAACTACATCTGTTCTTTATGGTTAGGAATGGGAAAAAACACCCAGGGAAGCTTTAGAAGTATGTATCTTGTATTGTTCCTGAATGTTTTTACATTATATAGTGCCTTGAAAAATACATGGTAGTTTTTACCCGGCAGTTTTTCCTTTATGTAGGTTAAATGTAGTTTGACTTAACCGTACATATTGTATCTAATTTGTGTTGCTTGTATGTCTTTTCCCTGTACATTTCACACATAATTTTGAGACATAGGAGAACAAACAGTATCTAATTTAAATTTTTTGACATTTGGTTTGAAATATTACTCCAACCAGCTTTATTTTCAATACAGAACATTCTTTGTCCTGAGGGTATTTTCCAACAGCTTATTGGGAACCACAGAAGCTTGACTTCCATCATTACTGGAGGAACAAATTAAAAATTACTTTTCTTTCATGAAGAAAGTTTGCATTTCAAAATTTGGACAACTGCACACTATACATCACTATATATTACAGTGAATATCTGTATGTGCTACGGATGTGACATTCTGCTTAAAGGAACACTGTGGCGATAGGTATATATAATCTGTATTTCTAACTCTGCAGTTCGGATATGGCTATTTAGTTCAAGACCTCACCCCTCTCTCCCCCCAAAAAAACATTACTCACCTCCCCCTCATAATCCTCACAGAGGAGCATTGGAAACTGCTCCTGGGCGATGCGCCTATGATTCTACTATACAGAATCATTGAATACAAATATTCTCTATGGCCGACTGTAAAGGCACTGCGCATACACAGGTTACGAGCCGGGAATGTAAACTACCAGCTTTTACACTCAGAGGGCTTGGAGATGTGTCTTGAAGTCACGTTACTAAGCCTTCTAATTATTTAAATAAAGGGTTTTGGGGGTTTAAAGGATTGAAGGCACTATAACAACTTCAAAGGTATGAAGTTGTTTTAATGCCTACAGTGTTTAATGAACAGAAAGAAAAAAAAAAAATTTTTAAAGCAAAAGTTCCAATACTACACTTCCTCCTAATGCAGTCTCTGTGATGACCACTTCTGGGAAATGCCCTTATTGCAAAAGTGCAACACCCGCAAGGCCCTCTGTTTCAGGACTTGTGTAATAACTTATTGGTAAATGTATTTCGAGGACTCTCTGACATGTTTTGTAGGGGGGAGATCCAATTTAACGCCCTATATTTTTAAGTCTGCAATTAAAATAAATTATAGCAAGTACCATAACCACTTTCATAAGCCATAGTGGTTAAGGCACCAGGAGTGTCCCATATTTATCTTTATATCCAGTGCCTTCAATAGCTTCACCTTGACATCTTATGGATTATGCCTTTTAAGTCTCTTTCACAAATACGTCTTAAATGAATAAATAAATGAAAGAAGTACAAGTGCTAAGTACGAGTTGTATAGCATAACCTGCCCTGGCAATGCATCTCAGACTACCAGACTTGTAAAAACAACCAATTCTTAGAATCAGCTATGGGAATATGAGATAGATTTTATTGTATGGGAAAACAACCAGTGGAAAGCTACAGCCATGAATACAGCGCAGTTCTTGACATATGCCAGCGTGCGAAAAGTGCCCTTAATCGTCCACTAATTGCCTCTAAAGCATATGTGTAATCCACATCCCAACAGTTATAGCTCAGAGGGGATTTACTGTATTAATCATAGCTTCATAAATAATAACCCCATGACTTCCTGCAAAATGTACACAATCTCAGGGTAGCTGTATAAAAACGCAGCTCTGCAGGTAAAGCGTGGGATGGAATGGACAATCTCCAGCACACTGGCCACCTGGCATTGAAACTCCTATGATGCTTATGGAGTCAGACGTTTGCTTTGAGTTAAACTATCATTGCGCTCAGAGCTTTATACAAGTTACAGCAAGACTCCGAGACATTTTGGTGAACATGCAAAGGGCCCTACCATCTAGAATATTCTCTCCTGCATGGATGAACTAAAGAGACACATTGTAGTTGTTATGGTGTAGTGACTAAAAGCAACAGTAAAGTCTGTCAAAACGGTTTTGGTGTGGTTTGACAAAAACGTTAACTACGACATAGACTATGATTATCGAGTGCAAACCTATAAATCTCGAATCTTGAAATGGGAACCTAAACAACAGTCACTGAAGGGAAACCAGGAAATTGTTGGCAAAGAAAGGTATAACTCATGACAGTGGTTATAGAACAGGCCCAAGGAGCAGTGAGCATAGGAGGGGGTATTAGGAGCAAAATTGATGATAACATAAATTGTAGTTAAAGGGAAACTATAGTGCCAGGAAAACAAAGTTATTTTGTGGCACTAAAACTCCTTCTAGTGCCTCCTCCCTCGCGGATCCTGACCACCGTGCAGAAGGAGTTAAAAACATCTTCTGTTATTTAGCCAATTCCAATTGTCGTTGGTTCAGACTCCGCCTCCGCTCCCCCCCTACTAACGGCAGCCGGCAGGATGGACCTAATGTGCATGTGAATTAGGACTTGCCCATAGGTAAGCATTGTGTAATGCTTTCCTATGAGATTTGAGAGATGCTGGATCTCCTCATACATACACAAAAGTCGCCTAACGACCCGGAAGTCCCTCTAGGGCGGTCTGGTAGACAACCTCTAGAGGTAGAGTTAACCCTGGCAGGTGAGAAGGGAAGACGTGCTTGTAATCGGTGTTTCCTTTAAAGGTCCCCTCTGTTGCTCATCTCTCATCCACCAAGCCACTATGAGTTTAAATGCCTGGGCTGAATTTTTGTGCCAGTATGGTTCTGAGCACGGCCACCCTATAGCTAGCGGTAAAGAGATGCCCTCTGTCCAAAAGGTTGGTCTTGCCATTAAAGGTACATGGCAAGCAAACAGAAGCAGTAGAGACAACATGTACAGATCTTTCACTGAAAACAATTGGAGGACCTCAATTGGCTGAGAAATTTAGCTTGTTCCAGATCTCAGCAGAAGTGTTGGATTTGTAGCAAACAGCGAGCACTCAAATGTTTCCTAAAGTTTAATTATTATTATTGTTCTTATTTTTAAACAGTAGCATTCACATATTTCCCACATTTAGAGGGAAAGTTAATTTAGAGGTGCATTAAGTTCACCCTGTACATTAAGAAAAGGGAGGGAGCCAAAAAGATCTTAACTGCTCGGGGCGGCAAACTATAAATCTGCCAAGGCATCAAAGACTTCACTGCTCTCCCAGTGGTGACTGATACTATTAATTGGAAGTGGAAAACAGGTTCTACTGACTAACTCTTCTACACCACTATACAAAGGGCTTAAAATATGAACTAGTTTTCTGGGCACTATAGCTTCCCACTCTGTCAAGGCACAGGCACCCCCCTTTTTTTCCTGGATAAAATAAACTTATCACAACATCAACACCACCTACAAATGTGAGTCTGCAGCCCATCCCCATCAATAGTTGACAACGGCTAAAAATCCCATCTTCGCTAACCAAAGTGGATTTCACTATGGATAAAAGTGACACTGCTTGCACAAAGGTAATTATAATTTAAAAAAAATAATAATAATCTGTCGAAACAAATCACAACTCACTTTTTTCAGTAACTCACCATCCTCTAAGTGGGTGTCTTTTGAGAAATGGCACAAAGAATACCTATAGTTAGGGACATAGTATTTTCTAAATTTGAAACACTTGCCCACAAACAGCTTTGGAACAGATCATAACATAGACTTGAGGGTTCATTTCAACTTAAGGCCCTATATCTCAGCCTTGGAGGACAGAGCCACAACAACGAAAGTCTCTCAATAAAAGCATGAAAAAAACCTTTGACTGAACAGTTTAACATACAAATCGGCCTTCATAAAATTGAACTGACTTTGGTGTTGGAGTAGCTTACCTGAACTCCTGGTCTATCTGAATGGAAAACAATCATTGGAAAAAATCTGTGATGTGGAGAAAGAACCCACCAATGTTTACAACATATTAAATGGAGGCATACTACACCAGTACACTTCGTTTCCTGGATCTTGTTGTGCTAAGCCTGCTTTATAATTCTGAACATTTTGAATCCTCTTTTCAAAAATACATATATGGCAATGGAGGACAACATACAGACCTTAACCTCCTGAGAAACTTCAAAATCCATCATTTAGTGGCATTATCATTGCCTATGTGACACTGGAATAAAACAACCTGCACTTCTTCCTACAAAAGTAAGTGGTCGCAGATTGTTACTTCTTTTTGAAATGGTAAATAGTCTGCAAAAAGAAGGATCTATGATATAGTATGCAATAAAAGCTTTCATTGAAATATGCACAAAAAAGCAATGGAATGCACTGTAACCTAACCATTTAAATTGGATGGGAATTGGGGTTTTGCATTGCATTGGTCCGTCTTCTTCCTTTGGATGCATGCTTTATAATTGCCAGAGTCACATGTGCCTAGGGTGTTACTAGCCCCCTCAAATGTCTCTGGATATGCAGTCTCAAGCAGGAACACCATACATCTAGACTTCTACCACCACGACAAACTCTTATTACTGAAGTGTTTATGGTGGTTTAAACAGCCCTTTAGTCCCTTTACTATTGAGCACTTTTTGATTGAGAAAATATTAGCATAATATTTATATGAAGCAAGGGATGCATAGCGAGCATATAAACATAACACAGCAATTTTGTTTCTGGATTGCTTTGCTGAAGATGGAATTCTTAGCAGTTATCAACTATTGATGGGGATGGGCTGCAGACTCACAGTTCTAGGTGTAGCTGATGTGATAAGTTTAATTTTATCCAGGAAATTGCTCACTTGTGAATCCTGATGAAAATATCAGATGTTTGGCTGCGGAGTATTTTCACCATAAAGGAAGAGTTATACTAAAACAGAAAATCGAGCAAGTTTGTTATCAAGACAGACACGGAACAAAGGGTGCATGGACTGGCAAATGTAACAACGCAAGGTCAACAGTGATTTTTGGGGAATATGATGACTGTGCCCTTAGACCGAATTCTCAAGATGGATTAAAAGAGAATGACATTTATATTTTTAAAACTCTTCAATATGCCAATATTCCTGCTCCAGTGAACGCCTCTTGGATAACCTAGTTGAGAGAACAGAATATGAACCACTACCATGGTCTGCTGCTTCTGCAGATGAGGCTGGCTTGCCAACAACGAACGTGAACTTACAAACCTAACTCTGGGACATACCCAAAATATATGCTTTGCCTACAGATATTTCTATCTTAAGAGAAGAATCGGAATGGATGGGACAATGAAGGCAATCGTGTCGGAAGTGATTGACCACCAGAATAGGCAGGCTTGTCTGGAGTTTTTTGTTTGTTTTTTACAAATGTAGCAAACAAAACAGGCTACAGATAAAAGCCTAGGTATGTTTGAACATAAGCTGCATAGCAAGAATATTTATGTACAAGGCATAACCAAGGATGTTGATACATCTGAACCTCCACACGTTAGGAGTACCATAGTTTTCTTACCTCTCTTCTCACCTTGAAGCCCTGTCCCCCTATTTCCCTTTCAATGTATGTATTTTTTTTTTTTTTTTAGTGTAACAGATGCATTGACAGAAGCGTACTAAGCAGGGGAGGGTCAGCTCTGTTTGCCGTGCGGCAGATGTCTGCTCTGTAGCCTTGGAGTGAGCATTCTATTGTAGTGGTTAGGGTGCTAGGGCAGGTATAGGCAACCTTCGGCACTCCAGATGTTGTGGACTACATCCCCCATAATGCTCTTATACCAATAATGATGGTACAGCATCATGGGAGGTGTAGTCCAAAACATCTTGAGTGCCGAAGGTTGCTTATGCCTGTGCTAGGGTGTAGTCCGATTTTACAGATTATTTTTGTAGTGCAGCGATACAAAAAATATGTAACAGATTGCAGATTCCAGAAATAACCAGTTAATAAGCATTACCATAAGATCAGAGAGGAATATATGTCGGGTGAAGTTACCAGCCTTCAGGACATGCATATCTTTCACAGCACCATTTTGTTTTATAAATTATAAACAATCAAAATAATTAATATTTATAAGTTATCAACCGCAGAACAAAAACCAGCCAATTCCAGAGTCATAATGGGTGAGGTGAAAGAAGATATAACAGAGCGTGTTCTAGAGTGATTATGTTATTTGTTGGACAGCAGTGCACATAGTTCGTGAACTAAGTGCCCACCCCCCAAGTTTGAGTGCTTTCACAAGTAACAGAGTTATTCTGACACCCAAAGCCCAAACATATGCTGCCACAGTGATATAATGCATACATTTGACCTCTGCAATACCTGTCCAAATTGGTCTACATTTGGATGGCGATGGTAACCGTGAACACTGGGCTCAGTTTCCCCCTAGCAATCTTATGTTTACCTCAATGAACTTGGCTAAAAATGCAGGTGATGTCTGTGTTTTGAGTACTCGAATTTTAACCTTTTTGCTGGCAATGGGGAGAAATTCTTTATATACGTGCAAATGCATGATAAACACTGCATCGCTAAAATATAAATGCAGATTACATCTGTGCAGAAGTGCAAAATGTGACTCATCACATTCACACCCCCATAAAAGGACCTATAGGAAAGCTGTAGTGTATGGCCATGCATGTAAGACCCCTCTTTACTGCAGAAACAATCCCCTATTCATCACTAAGACGATGAAGGAGCCAGCAACTGAAAATAGAATCTTGTGCCAAAAAAGAAGAGGTGACGTTCCACTGAGAGCAATTCGTATGAGTGGATAAGAAACCACTCAAACTTGCAAGTAGAAGTCAGAGTGTGGTGTTATCGCTGTACAACTTTTCACCTCTTTCTTAAAGGACCACTCTAGGCACCCAGACCACTTCAGCTTAATTAAGTGGTCTGGGTGCCAGGTCCTTCTAGGGTTAACCCATTTTTTCATAAACATAGCCGTTTCAGAGAAACGGCTATGTTTATGAATGGGTTAAGCCTTCCCCTATTTCCACTAGCGGCTGTCTCATTGACAGCCACTAGAGGCGCTTGTGTGCTTCTCACTGTGATTTTCACCAGGAGAGGCTCAACCAATCAGGATTGTTTCATTATGGTCTATAGGTCTGATATTTTCCCACAGAGGACTTTCAATTCCAAGTTCTATGCCATTAGCCAAGCCTTAATGTGGCACTGTCACCGTCTGGCGACTTTCCAGAATTTGCAAAGACCACCGACAGCAACGTCGCTGCTGCGAGTTAGGTGGCTGGGGGGTCCCAACCGCTCTCTTCAGCTCCTAGAACTTTAGCACCACGAGCCGACATCACTGCTGAACTCTCACATGCGCAAGACTACAGCACAGTTTTCTACGGAGACTCCCGCAAGAAGGCCAATTCCCTGCAGCCGTCACTGGTGAAGGCTGGGGGCATTGACACTTCTAGAAGGCGATAACTCCACCAAGTGTCTGGCGCAGGAAATACGCAGAAATTAAAGGTGTATCTACTGAAAAGAATAACAAAAATTTAAAAAAAATAAACAGTGACCATTTACAAATAAACTGTGATATAAAGTGTGGGCAGTGGAATATGAGGAGGCACATTTGACACAGACAAGAATACAAGAACAAAAAATAAAATATAATTTCAGAAGCTATCGAGATGTATTTTTGATAAATACTGTACATCAAATCTCTATATAAATATGGTGAGAACATAATTATTTGGCTTCTGATAATTTCATACAATAGAGGATTTAAGTATAAAACATGCTGTATTAGAAATTTGCGAGAGAACAGCGTTGCTAGAATCAGCTTATCGTAAAACCCAAAGCAGATATTGACTCTGATAAAGATTACAATCTAAGCTCAGATATGGGTTAAATTGTCACATACTCCAAAACACCCAACAACCATGATGCAATAGCAGTAAAAAAAAAAAATACATCAAAGCAAAAAAAATACAAAAAACAACTCTACACTGCCACAGAGATGTGATCGTTATAAATAATATTAATCACAAAAAAATATTTTTTAACAAAACACCGGCAGTAAAGTAGGAGGTACATCATTTTTTGTTGATTTGAGAGGCAAAAAACAACAGCAAATGTTCAAATTTGACACCTACTGTATGTACCGTATATACAGAATGTGCATATTTCTGTTTTTGTTGTATTTGGTTTGAATCTGTCAGTCTGTGCAGCTGTCTAAATGCATGCCGGGTTAAAGGAAACCTAAAAGCACCCAAAATAATAGTTGTTACTTTGGGACTATAGGTTCCCTTTTGTCCACGCACCTTTGCTAATAACAAAAAAATGAAAGTTTAAAGAGATTACTTACCTAGGCCAGGACTCCTCTACTGCATTTGCCCGCTCTGCCTTCAGAGAGGTCAACATACCAGCTGCCAGAAAGTGCAATATTTTACATTGTATTGTTAAAATTACAGGGATCACTGAACCCAGACCATTTCATTGGGATTAAGTGATCTTGGTGAGTATAGAGTACCTTTAAAGATAAGGTAAAAAATGGTTAGAGTAAATGTTAAAGAACAGTTCAAGTCATTGTTAAATTACATATATTTATTGCTAGGAGGATTTTTTTAGCTCGAGTGGGATTACATTTGTGGTACAAGGGACAAGGGGTGTTTAGAGTATTTCTTTTAGTGTTACGGTGCGATTAAAAATTTGAGTTGGGTACATGGGATGTCTAGTTTTTAAGAGTAGCTTAATCTAGGTTTAACCCCTTAAGGACACATGACGTGTAACACGTCATGATTCCCTTTTATTCCAGAAGTTTGGTCCTTAAGGGGTTAAGGTAAAGAGTTTGCTCAGGTTTAGGATAGGAGTGCCTAAATTTGGGATTAATGAAAGGATTTGTTTAGATTTTGGGAGTGGTTAAATTTAGGGTAAGGGAAAAGGGTGTGTATGGTGCAGTCGTGTGGATTAAAGGGTTATTTGCAAAGTATTCACCCTCTTCTGGTTGATAGAGCTGCATGAGCTGGTAGACAGCTTCTCCTGCAAGTCATTTCCTGTGTGAGAGGCTGTTAGTGGCAGACAGGAAGTGAGCCCTTCCACTTCCTGTCTAGCCTCACACACACACAGATACTGGAGGATCTGGCACAGCACTGAGTTTTACATCCTCTATAAGTGTTACTACAGCTCTGGTATCAAGTATAGAAGGCTAACAACTTTCAAAATTCCTAATCCTTTACCTTCCCCACCTAAGCTCAAAAAAGGCACATTATAAGTGCCGTAAAAATGCCCTGCTATAGGACACGTGCCTGTAGCCAGGTACCTAATCTGCCTAATGCGAAATACTGCAGGAAACAAAGGATGTCTAACCATTATACAGAATTCATATACGACTGTCTTTCCCCACATTGTCACTGGCTGGATTCAATCAGCAAAACAAAGTGAAGCAATGATAGCATCACATCAGACCAATAACGGAGTTTTCCATTGGGCTTTAATTAAAAAAAAAATTATATTGTAAAATAATTTCAATGTATTTATTTTGTTAAACCCAGGAAGTTTATCTAAATGACAAAATATATTAATTGAAATTATTATACAATATATTCTATGTCCCTGTGTTACATATGAACTTTCTTCCTGGTGTACATATGTGACCATTCTTGATGCTTTGCTAAATCCATTGTACTCTCTGGCACACCATTAGTCACAGAAAAATAAACATTTGAGGTATAAAGGATGTCTGTTCAGAGCCTCTTAGAATGTCATTTATAATTAATAACAAAATAAACCAAACTACTTCGCTTATGCCGTTTCACTCCACTGGTCATATATAAAATTACTTGTGTAGTGTCTTTTTAAACAAACACCCACAGTCTATGTTTGGCACTGCAATGCAGTGTGTCTACCTGGCTCAACGAGAGACACCTTAACAACGGAACATGCAGTCATAGAACCAGGGGTAAATAAAAGCCCAACATCAATATCAATATCAAATTGAGGTTTTTTGAACTTCAGTGATCATGATCCAAAAATGTTCCAAACTTTTTTTTATACTAATATTACTGCCGTTAGAACAGTTACCACTGAAAACTGGGCTTAACTTTATTCATCATTGTTACAAGGAACACTCCAAGTGGTCCTTGTAATAATTTTGTGATTGTTGTGCAAGGAGCGTCCTGCCGTCCACCGAGGACTGATCCTCACCTTACTCTCATACACTCATAAATAAGAGCTGGAAGCTCCTTCTTAGAGCTTCTGTTAGCCCTCCTGACCCAAGTCCTGCAGTGCAAGACCAATTCATTGGCTGAGAGTGCTGTAGTAATTATGGTGTTTGGAGTGTTCTTGTAAGCACAATCTCGAGATTGATACTCCACGATTGTAAGATTAACATGAAATGCATATTTATGTGTAATTAAGCTGTAACTCTATAATTACTACAGGGGCAATCACAGAGTACGGAGACATATCAGTTTTGAGTGGTTTAAAACAAACTGAAGATTCCCCAGGTTTCTGTGGACCTGTCTCGCACTCTCCATGTTGATAATACAGAAGCAATGTAAATTCCATCCAAATTTGAATGGCATTGATTGGCTAGCAATGGTTATGGTGTCTTCAGTAGTTTATTAATTATGTCCTTTTTTGGTGTTGGATTTGCTAAACATCTGATAGTTGCACTAATGTGTTAACTCTCTATTCAGAAGGATCGTAAACACATAAGCATAACTGTGTAACTAAGGTACACGGGCCCCTTTTCACTGAACTGTTGCGTGTCAGCGAAAAGTATTGTGAGATTTCGATAGCTATGACATTATTAAAGGGTTACTCCAACACTGATCCTGGTTTGAGTAGCCTTTGCTCTGCTTGTCAACCAAATCCCCAAATTCAAATTATAGGGAGAGGCATGGTGCCATTGGCCGTCTGGTGTGTTGTGCGCGAGACACCAAATTTGCACAGGATTCGCATTAGCCACCCTTTACTCTTGTCTTGGCTGAGGACAACCGAACGACGCAGCCAGTGGTGGAGTTAAACCTCCAGCAGCAAAATGGTTAAACTCTGTGTGTGCAACATTTCATAGTTAAATACTGCATTTAGAGACTCCAAGCACCACGAGCACTTCAAACTCTGGAGAAATTCTGATTGCCTGTTTATCTGTGGTTAATACCACAACAGCAGTTTAAAAACACGTGCTGCATTTTCAAAAACACCCCCAAAAAGTTCAATTGTCATTTGATGGGAATTCCGAATCTACAGTCACCCATAAAACTTTTAATGCACACATAGGCTTTCAATTCACACAATCTACATTATTAGGTAGTTCGAAGATACATTTACTGCAGTAGAAAGCAGTGAGCTAATGTTTCAACTGCAATGTGAAAACGCTGAATCTGGTTTGCTGCTGAGAAAACATGCTCATAATAATTTCATACATAAACGCGTTACAGCAAGGCAATAACTAGCTCTCATTTATAGTCGAACATGTCTTGTTGAATTCTCACGTATGCATTGCCTACCCATTGTACAGTGCTGTGGAACACGTTTTAAATATGAATACACACAGGGCCGTCTTTAATAATGATTGGGCCCGGGGCAAGCATTTGATAGGGCCCCCTGACCCTAACTCCCTGGCATGCAATCACGATCTCCACTTCCCAACGCAGTAACGGAACCATTTTCCCATGCTTGCAGAGTTGTATTTAGCACTGAGTTGTGTTTGTGTGTTTGAATGGAAGCATGTTTTTGTATGGAGTGTGTTTGTGTAAATGTAGGGGTGTGTTTGTAGGTGGTGTTGGTGTCTGAATGCAAGCATGCATCTGTGTATTTTTTTTTTTAATGCTGGGTGTGTTTAGATATATTTTTGGTGTTTAACACAAAGATGTATTTGTATGTATTGTTGACGTTTCAATGCAGGACTGTGTTTGTATGTAGTGTTGAAGGTTGAATGCAGGGGTGTACTTGTGTGTAGTGTTGGCGATTTGAATGATGAGATGTATGTACATGTACACATACACTGCCACACACACACACTGTGATACACAAATGCACACTGAAACACATGCAGATACACAGATATAAACACTGACACTCACACTAACACACAAGCAAATACAGACTGACACAGATACACACACTAACACATACAGACATACAGATACACAACCTGACACACATACGGAGACAAATATACAAACACTGAAACACATGAATACTCAGACACACTGATACATATACTGACACACATGCAGATACACACACACACAGATATACAAACGCAGGTACACACACTGACAACATACAGATACACAAATACATACAATGATAACTTACAGATACACACACTGACACACATACAGACATGCATATACAAAACCTGAGACACATGCAATGACACACAGATATACTAAATACAGATACACAGATATACATACTGACAGACATAATGACACACTGACATAGTGACACACACTGACAGACATACTCATACACACACAGACTCACACAGACACCCTGACAGACATACTCACACACACACACATACTTAGATAAACACAGACATACTAAGACACACACAAATACTGACACACACATGCAACGTTTACATTTTTACACATTGACAGGCATACTGACACAGTGACAGACAAACTGACATGCACACTCACAGACAAACTGAAACGCACAGACATACTGACAGGCACAGACAGACATACTGACACACACAGACAGACAAACACACACAGACAGACAAACTGACACGCACAGACATACTGACACACACATAAGCCCTGACAGACATACTGACACATACAGACATACTAAGACACACATACTCACACACACACAGATTTACTGACACACACAGACAGACATACTAAGAGACACACAGACACCCTGACACACAAATACCCTGACAGACAAACTCACACACATACACACATACTAAGACACACACAGACATACTGACTCACACAAATACTGACACACACACATGCAAAGTTTACATTTATAAAGCCACCCTCCAGCCCTACCTTATGGGTTCCCTGGGGTCCAGTGGCAGGCTGAGGTCGTTGGGAGTGTGAGGCTCCTGCACTCCTGCTCCCTCCTGACGGCCTCCTACTCCATCCCGCGCGGCTTCATTCTATCTGGGAGGAAGTGACTCACGGCAGTCACTTCCTCCCAGCCTGCTGCGGTAAAACCACGGGGTCAAAGTGCCCGACCGGGGCCTCTTAGTGTTGGGGCTCCCGGTGCAGCCGCAGCACCGGCGGGCCCAGGGGGCAAATAAATTTATTTCTTTTTTGCGGACAGCGGGGCCCACGGGGTAGCTGCTTTGGGCCCCCCAGGAGTAAATGGGCCCGGGGCAGCTGCCCCGTTTGCCCCGCTTTAAAGACGGCCGTGAATACACACACAACATTACTTGTCATTGAGGGTTTGGAAGTTAGGACATATACCAAACCAGCTCAGTTTATAACCTTAACTTAGATCAGGGGTGCCAAAAGGTAGATCCCCAGATGTTTTAAAACTACAGATTCCATGATGCTTTGTCATTCTAAAGGCATGCAAAGCATCATGGGGGTTGTAGTTCTACAATATCTGGGGATTTATCTTTTGGGCTCCCCTGACTTAAATTAAACATATAGTATAGATCTGTTCAGAATATTATTTCAAACTTATTTATATATAGTCACTTGTAGAAACACAGAATTTCTTACAACTAAACAATAAAAACGTGTATGTTTTGGAAACCTGTCAGAGTTTATTGGACAATCGGTGCTTTTACTTTACAACTTAAACTTGCACACACACAAAAAGAGGAAGGCAAGCACAGAGGCATCCCTGATGTGATGGGGATTAAACATACAGACTCTTGTGGTTAATAAAATTCACTGTGCTTAACCTCAACAAAGCACAAAGAATCATTAGGCAGGCTTCAAGCTTGTGGCTTTCAAATCGAGGGAGCTATGCAGGCAGAACCAGAATGCAAGCCCTATTCTATGGCAGCAAAATATCTGGTGTACGACTTCCCACTCAACAGAGCAGAGTGTTGTGACCACAACTGCCAATGACGCATGCTGAAACTGCAGTGAATCCCCTATCTGCAATACAATAAGTAAAGGAGACCAAATGACAGGCTAGCGGGGGTGTACATGACAGAAAGGGCACATTTATCAACATGTGAGCTGATGGGGTTTCAAGTTGAATCATTCAGCGTTCACACTGAGCACCCTCTTCTTGAATTAAGGGTTAGAAGCATGCTCATTGGCATAGTTAATGCATTAGTGCTCATATAATTACCCTATACCAGTCCTATTTGATGGCATTCATCAACTTATATTTTCTGCATGCCTAAACCATTCATCTTCAATTGGCTGTTTACTCATTAAAAAAGCACTGCGTTCATGCTTTACAAACAACACAATAAAAATATGTAGATAGCCAAAATCAGGATATATATGGCAGGCCTTTAATTGGCACCGGTTGTAAGAGTAGGGAAACGTTAACCTTTCCACAAACCGTTGAAATAGGGATCATTATGCAGAGAAAACGTATTTCTCATTTACATAGAGTATACTGCGATAATAAACATGTTACGTGCCTGTAATATATCACAGAAGTACTTCATTTCCTATCTGTGTGTAACTGTGTGGCTATATACGTTAGATTATTACAAGCCAGCATAGAGCTGGACATTTTTATTAAAGTGATTGTTTCGGGACAATGTAGCAATTACTGTACAGAACTAGCTCACTATGTGAGGGCAAAAATGAACAGAATTCTTGTGAAGATGCTAAGTCAGATACAGAGGCCTAGCATGTAAGACAGGAGGGATTTCTTGACTAAACCAGGATACAAGACTAACAGGGGAAATGAACAGAACTCCAATGCAACAGATATGTGCATGACACCATTATACAGATCCTGTGTTTGAAAAGTACAAATGTGTCAATTTTTTGATGGTTACAACAATGAAAGGGCACATGGAAATTTCTGAAGCAATATACCAATGCAGACACTGACAGCGGGATCGGTGGGGGAATGGATCAGAGGTCAAAGTACCAAAAGAAACACACTATATGTATTTTAAAGTAAATAAAAAGGAGCATAATGACGTGCTCAGCAAGTGTGTCCTAACATATAATGAATGCTCGTAATTATCAGGCTGGATATGTATAATAACGCTATTAGATTAAATAAGGGATCATTACAGGGCTGTGCCAGCAAATTAACATTTCCTGCTGCTGCCAATGTAACCCTTTCAATTGTCAGCAGTGATGGTGTCTGCCCCCTGCACTTAATGCCAAATAGTAAATAATAATTGCAGCTTAAAAACTCAAACTCTGAAGCAGAAAAAATATATATGGCTCAAAATGTCTATTTGCCACTAGCGATTGGCAAGTGAAAATTCCCCCTGGTGAGTTTGCCATTGAGCCTCCAAACTTGCAGTGGCAATTTTTAATGCCCAGCTACTACTGTACGACTCAAAATTGTAAGCCATGAATACAGAAATGTGCCCCAAGACTAAAATGATCGGGTTATAGGAAACGTAATCCTTTGTTTGGCCGAGACAAGTGATGGCTAAATTCTGGCACTGTAGATCCTGGAAAATATATTTCTTCTGATGTTCAGATAGTCACTCAACTTCATAACTCCTGCTGCTGGCTAAACATAATGAGCAAGGTAGTCCTGGACTGCTGGAGAGCCATTGCTTCTTACTAGGAATAAAAAGGGGTAAGAGTAATACAGATAGGCAGCATTCACCAGACTTTGTCAGGCAAACATGCCTCTGGGAACTACGAGTAGGAAAAGCTAGGTGACATGTAGAAGGGGAACCAGACCTATAGCATGATATGAGCAAGGGGTGATCATAAGAACACACACTGCCGGTCACACACACAAAATATTGATAGAACAAAATTCAATTTAAAAATAAAAATTAAGATCTTAACCATGCTTAGAATAACTGGTTCAATGAGGGGGAAAACATTGTTAAATTAACTGCATACCACCAGCATAATCTGGGCTTTAACCCATTCTACAATACTGTAATACATTGCAACATTGTTACTGAATTAAATGAAATAAAATAACGAAATAAACATAGGAAGGTGAGCAGTGTATTATATTCACAGTAATTGTGATGGGTCTCAAGGGTAGTTAGCTGCAAGGCCTGGCTTGCATTAATGGGAGCTGTGGGTTTGTAGTGATGGGACCTGTGGGTTTGCAGACCCCAACCATGGCAGTGATAGTAGTTGTAGATTTGCAGTCCCCAGCCCTGGCAGTGATGGGAATTGTGGGTTTGCAGTCCCCAGCCCTGGCAGTGATGGGAATTGTGAGTTTGCAGTCCCCAGCCCTGGCAGTGATGAGAATTCTGAGTTTGCAGTCCCCAGCCCTGGCAGTGATGGGAGTTGTGGGTTTGTAGTCCCCAGCCCTGGCAGTGATGGGAGTTGTGGGTTTGTAGTCCCCAGCCCTGGCAGTGATGGGAATTGTGGGTTTGCAGTCCCCAGCCCTGGCAGTGATGGGAATTGTGGGTTTGCAGTCCCCAGCCCTGGCAGTGATGGGAATTGTGGGTTTGCAGTCCCCAGCCCTGGCAGTGATGGGAATTGTGGGTTTGTAGTCCCCAGCCCTGGCAGTGATGAGAATTCTGAGTTTGCAGTCTCCAGGCCTGGCAGTGATGGGAGTTGTGGGTTTGCAGACCCCAGCCCTGGCAGTGATGGGAATTGTGGGTGTGCAGTCTCAGCCCTGGCAGTGATGGGAGTTGTGGGTGTGCAGTCCCCAGGCCTGGCAGTGATGGGAGTTGTGGGTGTGCAGTCCCCAGGCCTGGCAGTGATGGGAGTTGTGGGTGTGCAGTCCCCAGGCCTGGCAGTGATGGGAGTTGTGGGTGTGCAGTCCCCAGCCCTGGCAGTGATGGGAGTTGTGGGTGTGCAGTCCCCAGCCCTGGCAGTGATGGGAGTGATGGGAGTTGTGGGTGTGCAGTCCCCAGGCCTGGCAGTGATGGGAGTTGTGGGTGTGCAGTCCCCAGGCCTGGCAGTGATGGGAGTTGTGGGTGTGCAGTCCCCAGCCCTGGCAGTGATGGGATTGTGGGTTTGCAGTTGGCCAGTCCTGGCAGTGATGGGAATTGTTTGCAGTCCCAGCCCTGGCAGTGATGGGTGTTGATGGGATTGTGGGTTTGCAGTCCCCAGCCCTGGCAGTGATGGGAGTTGTGGGTTTGCAGTCCCCAGCCCTGGCAGTGATGGGAATTGTGGGTTTGCAGTCCCCAGCCCTGGCAGTGATGGGAATTGTGGGTTTGCAGTCCCCAGCCCTGGCAGTGATGGGAATTGTGAGTTTGCAATCCCCAGGCCTGGCAGTGATGGGAGTTGTGGGTGTGCAGTCCCCAGCCCTGGCAGTGCTGGGAATTGTGAGTTTGCAATCCCCAGGCCTGGCAGTGATGGGAGTTGTGGGTGTGCAGTCCCCAGGCCTGGCAGTGCTGGGAGTTGTGGGTTTGCAGTCCCCGGCCCTGGCAGTGATGGGAATTGTGAGTTTGCAGTCCCCGGCCCTGGCAGTGATGGGAATTGTGAGTTTGCAGTCCCCGGCCCTGGCAGTGCTGGGAATTGTGAGTTTGCAATCCCCAGGCCTGGCAGTGATGGGAGTTGTGGATGTGCAGTCTCAGCCCTGGCAGTGATGGGAATTGTGGGTTTGCAGTCCCCAGCCCTGGCAGTGATGGGAATTGTGAGTTTGCAGTCCCCAGCAATGGCAGTGGAGGGAATTGTGAGTTTGCAGTCCCCAGCAATGGCAGTGATGGGAATTGTGGGTTTGCAGTCCCCAGCCCTGGCAGTGATGGGAGTTGTGGGTTTGCAGTCCCCAGGCCTGGCAGTGATGGGAATTGTGAGTTTGCAGTCCCCAGCCCTGGCAGTGATGGGAATTGTGAGTTTGCAGTCCCCAGCAATGGCAGTGGAGGGAATTGTGAGTTTGCAGTCCCCAGCAATGGCAGTGGAGGGAATTGTGGGTGTGCAGTCCCCAGCCCTGGCAGTGATGGGAGTTGTGGGTGTGCAGTCCCCAGCCCTGGCAGTGATGAGAGTTGTGGGTGTGCAGTCCCCAGCCCTGGCAGGGATGGGAGTTGTGGGTGTGCAGTCCCCAGCCCTGGCAGTGATGGGAGTTGTGGGTGTGCAGTCCCCAGCCCTGGCAGTGATGGGAGTTGTGGGTGTGCAGTCTCAGCCCTGGCAGTGATGGGAGTTGTGGATGTGCAGTCTCAGCCCTGGCAGTGATGGGAGTTGTGGGTGTGCAGTCTCAGGCCTGGCAGTTATGGGAGTTGTGGGTGTGCAGTCCACAGGCCTGGCAGTGATGGGAGTTGTGGGTGTGCAGTCCACAGGCCTGGCAGTGATGGGAGTTGTGGGTGTGCAGTCCACAGGCCTGGCAGTGATGGGAGTTGTGGGTGTGCAGTCCACAGGCCTGGCAGTGATGGGAGTTGTGGGTGTGCAGTCCCCAGGCCTGGCAGTGATGGGAGTTGTGGGTGTGCAGTCCCCAGGCCTGGCAGTGATGGGAGTTGTGGGTGTGCAGTCTCTGACAGGTTTAATAAATAATCATGGTGTGCTGTGAGCCATAGTGGCTGCACATGGAGCTATGTAGGAGGGCCCCAGACAATGCCAGGCAGGGGCCCCGGTGCATTGTGGGCCAGGTTCCTGGGGCCCCTCGCAGTGCTCATGGTGTGATGGACACAATGCCTGTGCCCCCTCCCCGGGCAATGCAGCCACACTGCCAGGCAGCCATGCCACTCAGCCCCCCACCCAGCCCGCACTCCCCGCGGCAGCCTCACCCCTTCGCATGCTCGACCTCGTCCTCGTTGTCGCCGTCGATGCCGCAGGTGTCCTGGTCGTCCAGATCCAGGCTCTGCTGGCTCGCCGCGGACTCGCTGTCCTCCGCCATCACGGTCCAGACACACAGAGAGGGACTGCCAGAGAGCGCACCTCCAATACAATGCACCGGGGGCAGCGCCCTCTGCCGGCCACGGGAAGGAACTGCACACGGCGCCTCCTCCACTACAGTGCCCTCTACTGGCAGAGCTGGGGAACAGCTGGCTGGGACTGTGTCAGTATACCCAACCTGGGGGGACTGTCTGTCAGCATACCCAACCTGGGACTGTCTGTCAGTATACCCAACCTGGGACTGTCTGTCAGTATATCCAACCTGGGACTGTGTCAGTATACCCAACCTGGGACTGTCTGCCAGTATACCCAACCTCGGACTGTGTCAGTATACCCAACCTGGGACTGTCTGCCAGTATACCCAACCTGGGACTGTGTCAGTATACCCAACCTGGGACTGTGTCAGTATACCCAACCTGGGACTGTCTGCCAGTATACCCAACCTGGGACTGTGTCAGTATACCCAACCTGGGACTGTCTGCCAGTATACCCAACCTGGGACTGTCTGCCACTATACCCAACCTGGGACTGTGTCAGTATACCCAACCTGGGACTGTGTCAGTATACCCAACCTGGGACTGTCTGTCAGTATATCCAACCTGGGACTGTGTCAGTATACCCAACCTGGGACTGTCTGCCAGTATACCCAACCTGGGACTGTCTGCCACTATACCCAACCTGGGACTGTGTCAGTATACCCAACCTGGGACTGTGTCAGTATACCCAACCTGGGACTGTCTGTCAGTATATCCAACCTGGGACTGTGTCAGTATACCCAACCTGGGACTGTCTGCCAGTATACCCAACCTGGGACTGTGTCAGTATACCCAACCTGGGACTGTCTGCCACTATACCCAACCTGGGACTGTCTGCCAGTATACCCAACCTGGGACTGTCTGTCAGTATACCCATCCTGGGACTGTCTGTCAGTATACCCAACCTGGGACTGTCTGTCAGCATATCCAACCTGGGACTGTCTGTCAGCATACCCAACCTGGGACTGTCTGTCAGTATACCCAACCTGGGACTGTCTGTCAGCATATCCAACCTGGGACTGTCTGTCAGCATACCCAACCTGGGGACTCTCTGTCAGTATACCCAACCTGGGACTGTCTGTCAGGATACCCAACCTGGGACTGTCTGTCAGGATACCCAACCTGGGACTGTCTGTCAGTATACCCAACCTGGGGACTGTTTGTCAGTATACCCATCCTGGGACTGTCTGTCAGTATACCCAACCTGGGGACTGTCTGTCAGTATACCCATCCTGGGACTGTCTGTCAGAATACCCAACCTGGGACTGTCTGTCAGTATACCCAACATGGGACTGTCTGTACCTCATCTGTCAGTATACCCTGGGACTGTCTTTCAGTATACCCAACCTGGGACTGTCTGTCAGTATTGTTATTGTAATTTGTCTGGGACAAAATGGCGCAAACATATTATGCACTGAGGTTATTGCTTAAAGAAACAGTTATGAAAAACAATATGTTCCATTTCTAACACCTTGTCAGTTTGCAATATCTCTTAAAGACAAAGAACACAGTTTAAGAAATACAACATTTCATTCTAAAACTTGTAATATTTGCATTTGCCCATAACACCCTCTCCATTAAACTGTGGGCATTGTAGCGCATTTCTTCCTTAAATTAGTAAACCAAAGTTCTCCAACAGTCTTTAGGTTTTTTGTGCTCCCAGCATCTTTGATCATTGTTGTAACAGTAAAATATCCATAGTGTGATCTTTGCCTGTAAAGGTGGTTGATTAAAATGAGACAAACTTTTGTCTGGGAAAGAATTGAAAAGAACACCAGGTTCTAGAGTAAGATATTTTTGGATAAATCCGGATGCAGATTGTAATCCAAAATTAAAAGTAGTAATTGTATTTGTAATCCAATGTCTTTAAAGGCCTGTAGAAGTTTACATTTCTTAGATACATTGCTAGAGGTTGTGTTTGTTGAATACCTGGGTATTGTTGTAGAGTATAGGTTGTAGAGTCCAGCTTTCCAAATATTTGGCTAGAATTGGTCGCAGATATTGAATCAGCATAATCTGTTATGACCGTGGTGATGGTGTTGGTATTTGTCTTTGTCTTTGCTTGTTTGCTTTGTTTTTTTCATGAAACATTTTTACACAGTTTATGATGTGTATAGATTGGATAATCTCCGATATTCTTTTACGGAATAAATTAATTGACAGCATTTCCAAGACATTGTCGTAAATGTTATGTTGATACAGCATTCTAAGTGGATTCTCAAGAACGCCTCTTTTTGCTGTATTGGAATCTTTGTAACATCTCAGTGATAGACATCTCACTGACATCAGGTGCTGTTGTGCTAAAAATGTTAACAGGTAAAATCTGTGGAAAAATCTTTACATTTGTTATAGTTTGTATAATAATGATAGATGAAATAGTAACATAGTTAATCTTTCTAGTGTTTTGTATTAAAGATAAACACCCTTGTATATGATTTAGATATATAAGGATAATTTGAAGCAGCAAAGTATTTACCGCCTTCGTTCACAATGGTATGTAAAATTACATTCTCTTTGAATGTTAAAAATACTCCTTTATTCAAAATCTCTCAATCTATTTAGAATAGTTGCTAATTGGAAATATGACATTAATTATCTTTCTTTGACCTGTTAGGGAGAAGACAACTTATTCCCTACTTATTATTAGTAAATATAATAACTACAGTTATTAGTGGCTTAAAATACCAGAAACCCCCAAATATTGTCTTAGAAAACATTTTTTTTTACCAAGATCTGACAGCCATTGTGGAAAGTTACGTTCGTGAGATTGGATGCTTAACAATGTGAATCTTAATTGTTTAAGTATATTTACCAGCGGCTGTTGGGTGTAGCTTAAGATGATTTGGATTTTTTATTACTTCTAAAAGTGAGTTAAGAAAGCACTCAGATACAATATTCAAGGTATTTATATTTTAACACTACCTTTGTATAGGTGGTTTTATGTACCTTTAACCATCACAAACCAAATAACATTTTCTTGGTATTTGAAAAACTGATAAAATATTTGATTACATGTATTTTAATATATATACATAGAGTGGTATGGATGTTGAATTTATATCTTTGACATCTTTTCACCAGTTTGCAATAGGTGACCTAAATGTTCAATTTCCAAAATAATCATGTATATCATCTGGACGGGTTAATCCATAATACTCTTTTACTTCCCAGATTTTACTAGTAACATGACGTAAAGTCATGATTTTATTAAAGACACGGAGGCGAGTATTATGCATAACTCTTTCTTTATTTCCTCAGCAGCAAAGAAAGAGAAATATAAATATTATCAAAACTGAAGAAAAAAAAAAAAAAACTGTATAGGCACAACAGGTAGCCAATCACAGGATATAGGAAGTAGCTATATAAATCTTGTGTCTCCCACAATCACCCTCTTTCTTGCGAACCGAAGACCAGGTAAGATGAACGATGTCCCACTTGGTCGAAACAGGGTAACGGGAAACGATGCGACAATTTCAAGCTAAAAAAGATAGAGAAATATGGTAATTTCTTAATTCAGAACTGCAGACTTACCAAACATAAACTTGGGGAGACAGAGGTAAAACAGAGTCCTGAAATATAAAACATCAGAATTAGTACACAACATAAGGTACAACAACCCGAACAAAAGATGCAAATCAAACTGATAGAGTACAGACCAAACTGGAAAAACATACCTGTAGAGCCACCAAGCATCTCTTATCCCAACTCCACTCCGGGAGGGTGGGAGGGAATAATACTCGCCTCCGTGTCTTTAATAAAATCATGACTTTACGTCATGTTACTAGTAAAATCTGGGAATTTTATTAAAGACACGGAGGCTCATATTATGCAAGTTCAAAGCTGCGCCACCACACGAGATGCGATGTGCTCAATTGGTCTGAAGTAGAAGGTTCGGAAGGTCGATTCCCGAGACCAATCCGCCGCTCGCATAATGTCCTCTAGGCGACATCCGACTGAAGAGGCTTTCGAGGCCATCGCGCCCCTTACAGAATGAGGCGTAAATATTGAGGTGTCTATACCCGCGGAGGATAGCAGCCAGTGCACCCAACGTGCTAGGGTAGGAGTCGAAACCGGCCGGTGAGGTGATTTAAAGGATATGAACAGATCGTGCAGGTCTGCTATGCGAAGGGGACGTGTAACATCCAGATAGTCCTTGATGCAATCCACCGGGCAGAGCGTTGGACAGTCTGAAAACCTAGGGTATGTAAGTGACTTAGACGCAGACTTGGTTCTCCTGGAAATGTCAAAGGTGACGCCTTCTGGGGTGAATGCAACGGCGTCCCAGTCCAGGGCCCGAACGTCAGAGACTCTTCTGCAGGAAATCAGGCACAGTAACATAACCAATTTGGCAGACAATTGTTTGAGAGTCAGCTCCAGATTGGGGTACCATGACGATCGGAACTGTAGCATCACGTTGACGTCCCAAAAGGCAGCGAAACGAGGTCGAGGAGGACGAGCAAGGCGAATACCTTTGAGAAGTCGACAGACAAAGGGATGCTTGCCGACCGGAGAACCGTCCAGGCCTTCGTGACCGGCTGAGATAGCTGAGCGGAAAAGGTTGATCGTGCGGTATGCCTTGCCCGAATCAAATAGGAACGTGAGGAACTCCAGAATCAAAGGTAGAGAGGCAGATACGGGATCCATTGCCCGTTCCATGCACCAACCAGACCATGATCTCCATGAATGTCGGTAAGCTGTCCGTGTACCCGGGGCCCAGGCGTTATCGAGGAGTCGGAGAGTTGACTGCGAAACGTCTGGGATAACCCAAGGTCCCCTGAAAGGAACCACGCTATAAGGGGCAGCTGATGTTGCAACACCAAGTCGTGAGAGTTCCCATCCGGATCCAGAAGGAGGTCCTGGAATACCGGAAGCAAACGAGGGTAGTCTATGGACAGTTCCATCAGCCGAGGGAACCATGGGCGAGACCTCCATAGAGGGGTGATCAAAGCCATCCGACAATCGTGGCAGACCAGTTTCGAGATCGTGCGTGCGATCATGTTGAATGGGGGAAAGGCGTACATCAGACCC